GAAGCGACCTTAGCTTTTTTTAGGTTTACAGCAAAACACCGATAGCTCAACTCTTCGGCGGTTCCAATTCTTATCAGCTATACGCAGCTAACGCTATAAGTTGCATATTCCAAACTCTGCAGAGAAAACTTGTCAGTTATAAAAGAAAAGAAAACCACACACTATGTCTAAAAAGCGACATAAAATCAATAAATTTGCGAATTACCAAAATAAAGTAGTGAGAAACGCTCCCGCCTTCAACCGCCATGTTTCTGTTCCTTCTCAATACCGTTGATCCTTGTTTTTGACGAAATGCGCATGATCTGTACACAAATCCGCTGACAAGACCTATGATGATCGGATGATCGCTTTATAAGTGGTAAAATCATCGTTTGGATTTCATTTAAGAGAATGTATGGGAAGTAGGTCTCCTCCCCCCCCCGCCCCACTGCACTTCGTCCCCATCAAGCTAATATCCGTACCATGCGAAGAAGACAAAATGCGGTTCGGTTTCACAAGTGAAGCAGTACTATCGTCCACAAATCCCGAATGAAGTGAGGTTTAAAAATTCCTATTTAATGTCACCATATTCCCTTTTCAGTGGTGAAAGTTCGGCTGTGGTAACCACGCTGTACCCGACTATGCAAGGATCGGATAGTCCAAACACATTTAATTTTTAGCTTGACAAATGGCGGCCAGCGCTACGAATCAAAGGCAGTAACAAGGCGGTGCACGCGCCATCTCGCCAGCAGGGTTTTCCTCGATCGGTGAGGCATGCGCAATGCTTTTCTCCATGGAGGTCGTAAAAAGACAATTTCTACTCTAAATTTCTCAAAACCTAGCTGTACGACCTGGGTTCAAATTTTGAGGACTACGGCTAGTTTTTAAGAAAAAAGCCTTTAAAGGGCTAGTTTCCAGTTCCCTTTTAGGGTGCTCGGTCACTATATTTCGCGTTAAACTACGTAATAAAATGTTTTTACAAGGTAAAGTGATGACTTACATCAATTGCAATGAATAACAATTCAGCAACCTCGTCCCCAGGGCTTTTCCCTTAAAAAATGGGTGGGGCGGGAAAAGGCCCTGGCATCGGCTGGTCACGTGCACAGCCTAAATATTCCTGAGAAGCTAATTTATATGCAACCCGCTGGTTTTGTGCTGACAGAAGTCGAACGGAGCAATGATATATATCGCGACCTGTATGTCAATATTTTCGCGTCTGTGCGATTCAAAAGCTTAAGATCCATTTAATTGCGTATTATTCAAATGCTACAAGTTTATGAAAGGGCGAACCGGCTCTACGTTGTCACGTACAAAATATGTCAAATGCTTCAGAGTATCAGTTGAGACAAGCTGTTATATCGAGTGGTACCTCGACTGCAATTCATCGTGACTGTGGAATTACTGTACGATCAAGCAGAAAGTGATTTTTTCCAATGTCAAACAAAAATGCGGGTCTTTGCCTATAGGATCTGCAGTGAATTTAAACAAATTCAACTTAATTGAAATAGAATTGTTCATCAAAATGCTTTATGGAGTCTGGCCTTTTCTACAACCCGACCATGAAACAAACAAATCTCCGCGCCGGATGCAAGTCAGCCCTCCAGCCAGGAACGATGACAGGTCGCCGATCTGAAACGTTTTAAGATCTCTTATATCTTTTCTCTTCCGAGGATAAGTACAAAGGATTTTCCTTATATCAAAGGGAAGATTGACCGATCGATTGGAATCAACTACAGCTCTGACAATTTTAAATGGACCCAAGTCTTTCTTTGTTACCAGTCGTTTGATACCTGGGTGCCAGAAACTTTTCATGCGCGGTTTCTGGTTTCGGTCAAGTCTCGCAGAGGTCAATGAATTTTTTAAAAATACAGGTCATACTAGTTAAGTCTAAACCAACGCGTGTCGCTATGATATGGCTGACAGTCAAGGTGAATAGAACTACTAGGTTGTGTACGGCGGTCCACTTCGCAAGAAATAAATAAAACATCAAAAGAGTCGCGAAAACGGACTTTTCCATGCCAGTACAAACTTTATGCATGTACGATAGCTTGTTTGTCATTTATATCGCTCTATAGAGGAAGTTTTACAAATGTTACCCCTCACTGTCTCCTTCATAGAAATCGGAGGAAAGCAAAAAATTACCATAGCCAGTATCTGTGACAAAAAAAGAAAACTTTTCGTTACTAGTCAAGAGATATAAAAGGCCGCCCAAGATCGCGCACTGTGAGGTCTCGCATAATTTTAGCTTTTCACATAGCGCTAATTTATTACACCCAGGATTTTAGGGTGTACGAGGGGACACGTGACCAGCCGATGCCAGGGCCTTTTCCCGCCCCACCCATTTTTTAAGGGAAAAGCCCTGGGGACGAGGTTGACAATTCAGTAGAGACCTTCAGTTGCTAAAAATGGTCCAGTTTGAAAAATTCGACAGTTTTCATCCGAAAACTGTAGTAAGCCACATTAATCTTGAAATAACATAATCGAGTAGAGCAAGCTAAACTAATTTATTGTGTAACAAGCCATTCATTATCTCATTCCCAAAACGAAACTGAACGTTTTAAAATTAATAGGCTTTTTTACCAACTGAAATGTAAATCAGCAGGCGTTCATGGAAAACAAGAGACTATGAGGGCTTACCACGTCTATCATAGTCTCTAACAATCTTCTTGAAAGAGTTGCTTGAAAATATAGGCGAAATTTATTGCCAAGGCAAACGCAAAGCTAAAACACAGGCTGTATGCTTAGAGCTAACTCCCCTTCGCTCCATTCCAGAGTTTCCCCTCCCCACCCAGTCCCCCGCCAGAGTCAGTAGGGGAGCTTAATATACGGGCGCAGTTCAGGCGTACTTGACATTATATTCTACCAAATTGCTCACGTTTTCTGGCTTGACATGTGCCGTAAGCCTACAATTTGCCCAAATGTTACCCAGAAATGCAAAACTTGCTCGAGATTGCCAGAACTGGGGGGTGGGGCGAAATGGCGAAATGTCAGTTCAGACTACGACCTACCACTTTTCTCTCCTCAATGCCATTTTTCTAAGAATACAAGTAAGGAATTCATAATCGTTTTTCACAACGAAACTGTTATAAAATAGGCTTTTTTAACAGCTTGAAAGTCTACGCAGGCGTTTATGGAAAGCAAGTGACTGTGAGGGCTTACCCGGACTTCATAGTCTCTTGCGGAAAACATTTTGTTACGTTTTCAGGGTCGCTTTAACGGACAATTCAATGAAACTAAGGATTGTGAAGATCTGCATGTTTCGCTTTTATAATTACGGAAGGTGCTGCGTGACTTTCTTTTTCAGACTGGTATCTGTCTTCACGGAAAAACCTGGGTCTCAAAGTTCTTTGTCACTCAATCTCGTTTCGCAAAAGGCTTCGTGTCTGTCGTCCAAAAACGTGAGGCAGGTCAAAGTTTTTTCCTTTTTTATAGCTATAAAGATTTGTCTCACGAGAAATGAGAGCATTTTAAAGAATAGTTAACGACTCTGAAGTCGTTTTGTAAATAAATGATAACTGTTACAAATACCGTAATAGTAAACAAATACGCACGTAAGGGAAGTGTTCAATAGCTCACTTTTGCACACTAAATTACTTCAATCTCCTTTTGAAAAATTGCTACTGTGAAGTCTAGAACGATTTTTAGTGTTTTAAACTGGCGAAAAAGGGACGAACGGGCAAGAATTTCAAATGTTGTCTAATTTCTCGCTTCTATTCACCAATACAACTGCAAACTCAAAGGCCGTAGATCACGCGAGTACCGTAAATGTTTTCAGTTGTCACTGACTCGCAGTTTAAATTGCCCCAAGTTTTTATTTCACAGATTGACAGTGGAAGCATTGCTCTTTCTCTGAGATGGATGTCAGTAAAACGCGGGGTCGGGATCGGGGTCAGGCTCTATCTTTTTTCTAAAGAATGCTGTTTTAGGGTTAGGTTTACCGTTAGTGTCAAGCCTAACCCTAAACTTAACCCTAAAACAGCATTCTTTAAAAAAGCAGATAGATCCCGACCCAGGCCCAGCACCGACCCGGCGATTTACTGACACCCCAAAATTGACGGTCGCGATAATATTGATTTAGAGGCCAGGGTAATTTAAAAAAAATAAAATAAAATAACCAGATTGAAATCTTTTGAAATTGTAACAACGTGTAGATACAATAGAAGGATCATAAAGTTGTTTTATGCAAAAAAAAAAAAAAACTCACGGTATTAGTTTCCGTTTCCATTCACGAAGTGACGAGGATACCAAGCACATTTTTCGGTGGTTTAAAGACCTCTCGAAGGTGAACATTGAAAATCTGTTTATTTTTGCAAATATAAAGTCAAACGAACTGTCTGTCTTGTATTTTCTAAAATAGTTTTTAAACGGCTTTGCTGTGACAAAGTTTGGGGGATTTGAATTTTTCTTTCTTGCTCACCTATCCGTGGTATTTACAGAAAGTCGCTCGTAATAATATAGACAGAGCAAAGACAGACGGCCCCAGAGGAAGAATATAGAAAAATACCACTCCACGGATGACAACTACTAAATGAAGAATATCTGCTAGAATAACCATTCCTTCATATGCCGAAAGTGCTAAGGTACAGGAAAATGTTTAAAGATATATTACAAAGAGGTAAGCACGTTTTGAGAATGGAAAGAAGGTATTATATTTGCACGCAAAAAGGTATTACACGTGTATTCCCTTACCTTTTTCTTTTCCAAGAATTGCATTCCCAAAGCGATTTGAAACGCGATTTTAAGTAACGCCCGGTCGTTTAAGCCAAAACGTACATTTACATAACGACTCGCTTCACCAGAAACGCATGCTACTCGTTTTGATATTAGGAAGTTCTTTAAACTACCATACGGAACTAGTTCAGTCACAACAAGAATCTTCTCTGAAATAATAATAAAAAATGAAAAAGAAACATATTAAAGAAAAAGAAGCCGAGTATTCATTACATACAGCAAATACTAATTAGGATAAAACATACCCTCTCGAGTACAAACGCCAACTAAGCTGACGATGTTTGGATGCCGTCCAGCTTGTTTTAACATCTTTATTTCACTTAATAAATCGTTTTTGTCTGCCATGCTTGTACCATCTGTATAGAAAAGCCACATAACAGTAAATTTATTAACATGTTACACACTGATTAGCTTTCACTGTGTTCGATGTTTTTAAATCGCGGCAAGATATATACTGTATCATCATCATCATCATCATCATCATCATCATCATCATCATCATCATCATCATCATTTATTTATTTATTTATTTATTTATTTTAAATCAGATAACCTGCATCAAGCCTTCCGTTGGAGTTCTTGGGGGCCCTGTTAGGGGAGAGGACATTTGAAAAGAAGAAGAAGGATGACTCAAAGAGGTATATGCAAGAAAAATATAGTAAGTACATTGTGTACATTTCTTCTGTAACACGGGTTTCGTTGCAGCATGTCTACTCATTCCTTTAAAAGTAAGGCTGATAAATGAAGGAAAAAAAACATATCAACCAAATTAGGTACCTTTCATTCATTTATAATAGTACCTTTCAACTGCTTTACTGCGACATCTTTTCCCCGGTAGCTACCTTTATTAACAATTCCAAACTCTCCCTCTCCAAGTACTACGTCAGACACTCTTAATCTATCCAAGTCAATCTCCCAGCTTTCTTCCTTCTCCTTTAATAAGATACTATAAATATTTTTCTATAATCAGAAAAATTATTAAGGTATAATGAAAATATAGGTATAATAAAACAAATGCTCTCGCTGTCTGACCCCATACTTATTCCAGTATGTAATCCGAAACTATTAATAGGCTGTCCGAGTAAGAATCGACCACTTGATCATGATCAAAATTTCGATTCCGTTCAAAATTTGTCACGGCCATAAAACAAGGTTCACATAAGATGAAAGAGAACAAGTTTCTTTGGTTTTAAATCTTTATAATACCTTAAATATTAAGGCAAAATGTCAACGATACCCGGAAACCTCAAAACAGGTACTTTGCGAAGCCAAAATTTGCCCGACTTCGGTTGCTTGCTTCTCGGCGGGTAATTGTCAGAATAACTCCAGATTCACATACTGCACATAATATATACACACATCGAAATGCTTTAACTCAGTGGTAAAACCAGATCAAAGTAACATCTATTGTCTAATGACCAACCAAACGCTTGCGTTGATTGTACAACACACTCCCTGAACGCGAGCTGCAGTGATGTTAGGACAGTTCCTCCATTTTTCTCGCTTCCTCACAAACCGACCCCCGCTCCTAAGTGGTTTTGACACTCATCCAAGATGGATGCCCGTAACGCAAAGCGCTCGATCTCCACGATCTTACAGAAAAACAGGGCACTGTGAACAGTCTTATCTCTGGGTGGAATTTCTGTTTGTCAGTGGGCCCTTATATTTAATGTTATTTTTTTATGTAGGCTCCAACGCCCCCGCCCCTCAAACCTTGCCTAGTTCTGAACTCGGCTGCAAAACCAGGTTTATTTCATAGGTACTGAGATTTATCCACGAAAATCATAGTGAATAAAATTCGTACTGATTCTGCTCGTAGCCAATCAGGAGCACGAACGACAAAATTTCACCGTAAAAAATCTATCATTTGTCCAATCAGCAAAGCGAACGACGAAATTTCACTGATGATGAATGAACGTACCGAAGAGAACGTCACCCGTAGGCCGTTGCACAAAAGGCTGCGCGCTTTGAAAAATAGCCGAGGGAAGGTTTACTTCTGTTTGCTCGGTTTATAAAATTTATGTTGGAACTCGAAAACAAAAATACCGCTCAAAAACTGAACGAGATGTAAGATTGCTTGAAAGATCTTTGAAAATGAAAGACGAAGACAGGAAAATTGAAGATATTCCAGCGGCTGAGCTGAATGGACACATTAGTGAATTTATCATCTCTGTCGGCACTAAAGATGGCAAAGAGTACAAGCCGACTTCGCGTCGAAGTTTAATGGCCAGCTTCGAACGACAGTTGAAGAAAAAGGGCTATTCTAGCTCCCAGCATAATCAACAACTTGGTCTTGGAGAAAACCAGAAATGTTCTTCAATCCAAGCAAAAACAGCTGAAGAAGCAACGAAAAGGGAGTAAACCCAAAGCATCGGTAGCTTTGACAAGCGAAGAGATCGAGTTAAAAATACTGTACGAGAAGGGTTTGCTCGGTATATGTAGTCCTGAGGCACTGTTTTAAAAACACGCTCTGGCTGGACAACACAGTAAGTGTTCTAAATTTTATAGGCTTTCATTAACTTAGTTGTTGTGGAGCGATTTTAAATTGACTACTTGTTACACTTTTGATTGCCCCAATTGTGCAATTTGTCTACTAAATTACACAAACACATCTCAGTACCTATGAAATAAACACAGTTAATACGCATCAGAAAACTCACTCGTTCGCTGCGCTCACTCGTTCTTTTTCTGATACTACTCAAATCGTAAGAAAAAACCTTACGCGCGCATTTCCCATGAAGTAATCTGGGGCTGGTCCCTTAGCTAGGTCCAGTTTCGCTAAGGGAAATAATGTCTAGCTGCGGATAACTGTTGATAGTCATGCAGTAAGAACTCCTTAAACGTTGATGTCGTGGCTCGTGTGTTCAGGTGCATGATCGTAAGGTGCGGAGAGGGTGGAGATAATTCAGTGTCATGCTAAAATTATGTAGTGTCATGCGCTTAGTAGGCTACTAAGGCCTCCCGACAATTGCAGAACATCATTGCAACACTTGTCCACCCACTTTCAAGAATATAATTAGCGATGGCCAGCATAAACAGAGAAAGCTTTTGCGGGCAGTATTTTCCACACAATTCAAACTAAGGCGCCCACGCACGTATTATCTCCCGCTTTGTAAGAACAATAGCTAGGTCCAAGAATTGGTTTTAAATGGCTTCATGACAACAGTCTGATAAGTCTTCCTAGATCATAATTGTTCTAAATGGTAGCTTAAATGATACTTTTTTAACTTGAATCTTATTTGTTAAATGTATTTGCCTTTATGATTGTACATATTTTTGTCTAAAATAATTGCATTTATTTGCATTTAACTCTAGCGGAAGGGAGGGAGGATTGGCACTAGTTTCTTTCTCGGTCATGCGTTCTACGCAGCTTTTTGCCATGTGCTTGTACATATCGTAGCTTCGCTGAACACACGTTTATTTCCCAGAATAGTTTCTTATGGTGTGTTGTTGTTGTTGTTTACGCTATGGCGACTACAAAGGGCAGCAGGAGAACGAAACATCCGATAAAACTAAAAGATCTCGTCGCAGATCATTTTGTAGCAGAATCCACAACACCTCAACAGATGAGCATAGCAGTCAAACGCAAACTGAGTCAGGTTGAGTCTTTGATAAAAGACCTTACTAAAACAAGCTTTAACGCAGAACAACCCACTGTAAACGACAGAGCGACCAAAGATCTTCGAAACCGCGATTTACAGCTTGAACTGGACCTTACTCGCACCAAACTCGAGCTGTTGCAGCTACAGCGAGAGTCCACGCAATGGAGTGCGCCCAAGATGGTCTCGGCGACCGCAACAACAACACCTGATGGTAATTTTGTCGCAAAAAAAACTTTGAAAAGTCTCCAGCAAGACCCAGTTGTTCAATCTGAGCTCAAATCTCTTATGGATTCCTCATGAGACCCCATCTTACTGGGTTTAACCGAAGAGGAACAAGACCCAGCGCAGCCGCTGTTTAAGCCCTTTGCTTCGCGAAATAAACGTCCTCTTCTCATCCCAAATTTCATTAGTTCCCTCCCCTTAGCACTACACGAGGTTAAGGAGACCGTGCTTGGAATCTCTACTGATGCTAGAATTAAAAACCGCTCAGGACAAGAAACTCTCTCTTGAAAAAATCTCATTCTCACAATGGTCAGCGGCTAACGTTCGTATTATGCATACTCTCATGACAGATGGGCCTCTCTCGTCCTCCTAGGACATCCTTCAATATATTATGTATATTTCAAAGATATCTGAACTAGCAAAGTGTTACCCTTTATCGAAAGTGATGCAATATGATGATTTGTACCGCAGAATGCACTTTTCGACAAACTGTAAATTGGGTACTGACAGCCAGTTCATTTCCCACCAAACACTCCACAGACCAGATCCAACTCCGACACCGCCGCGCCCACCTTCTTGCAAAACGTAGCAAGTTTGCTACGATTACCAACGACGTAAAGGTTGCCGCTTTGTCTCTTCCTGTAAATATGATCATGTTTGCATCAAACCGCATTGCTTGGGAGCCCACCCAGAATGGCAGCACCAGTCTGGTACTGCTCAAGAACCAAATACTAAGCCGATACTCAACTGCAGATCTTCCCCCGAGTGGTATTTTGACTAGAGAACTAGCAGGAGTTTTCACGACCACGTTGTTAAATGCGGGATTGATCCCGTCTTAAGGACACCACTTCCCGCAGAGTGTGGGGAAAGTTTACCTATTCATGCAGGTTCCTTCTCAGAATTTAAGCCGCAGCCCCAAGCAGCCAAGGTCTCCACAGAATTAGTTTTTGAGACCTGGGCAACAGAACTAAACAATGACCCGGACATAGACTTTATCTTGGATGGTGTTAAGCTCCTTTCTCCTGATTCAATGGTTTCACATGCCTTTACACATAACAATAAGTCTGCTTTGCGGCCTGGAGTTAAAAATCAAATTGAAGCGCAATTAGTCAAAGGTCTACGCGAAGATCACTTTACTATAGCAGACAAGGCCAACATGCCCATTATCATTAACCCCCTTGAAGCTGTACCAAAAAGGACTCCAATGAATCACTAATGATCATGGATTGTAGCCGACCCATAATGATGAATTGTAACTAATATATGGATTTAGAACACTACAAGTATGTTACTGTTGATGATGCAGTAAATCTCTGTCAACCTGGTCGTTGGTTGGCAAAAGTTAGCTTAAAACATGCATATAGAAGCGTTGGCACACATCCCGACGGCTGGCGAGATACAGGAATGTCGTGGTGCTTCAACGGCTCAAAACACCCCACCTACCTCTATGATAAGCGTCTCCCATTTGGAGACAGGGCCTCACCACTGGTGTTTCATCGCTTCGCACAAGCGATTAGTCGTATGATGGCCCGGAGAGGGTATACTGTGCTGGCATATCTCGATGACTTCCTTTTCATCGAACCAACTCAACGTCTGTGCAAAGGTAACTTTTGACACCCTGTCTCGCGGCTTCCGGCTGTCAACTGGTCCAAAGTTGTCTACACTGCCCAATGTCTGATTTTTCTTGGAGCTGAAATCGACACCGTTCAGTTTGAGCTCCGTCTCTCAGACGATCATTTGTCTGTGTTACCCCTTCTCAAGGTAACAAGCTCAAAACGCATATGTACCAAGCTTCACCTACAACGACTCCTTGGCAAGCTTCATTCGGCAGCGAGTGTTGTTCGAGGGGTCGCGCATTTCTGAGGCGTCTTATTACCTTGGCAAACTCGGATAAATGCCCTTGCCATCGCCTCTATCTAAACATAGGTAGGTAGGTAGCGACTTTATTTAATGACGGTAACACATGACAGTAAACACTGATGAACTAGGGGCCCTCAGTCGTAAATAAAATATTTAGAACTAATAAAAATAGACTCGACGAATTAAAATTTAAAAATACTACGAGAAATAAATGCAAGAGCCGACCTCATGTGGTGGATCTGCCTCTTAAAACTTTGTTCCCCTCAGTGATCCCAGAACTTCCTACAGCGGTGCTTACTGATGCCTCCCTGTCTGGGGGGGGGGGGCTATGGGCAAAAGACTGGATGTATGCCAACTGGGCCTTGGATTACTTATCTCTTTACTCTCTCCGTATCAATTACAAGGAGACATTTACCACTGTTTTAGCTGCACACCGTTGGGCACCTTTCTGGTTAGGTCATCGAGTAATCATCAAGACAGACAGTCAAGTGGCCGCAGCCATTCTAAACAAAGGCTCAACCTGTTGTCCGGTGATCAAGGACTGAATTCGTTCTCTGTTTTGGCTTAAGGAGTATTGCATCTTCAGTTTGCTCGTCAAGCATATCCCAGGAACAACCAACACCCTACCTGGATCAAATGACTTCGAATCTTACATGTCCCCCTTGTCTCTTGCTCTCCTTAGATCCAAGGGATCAGCAGCATCTTGACCGTGAAGTCACCAATTTCCGGCGCCAAGCATATGTACCTACTACCAAGTCCACCTACGTGAGTCAAAGGCGTTCATACCAATCCTTTTGTGTATACTACGGTTACCAACCTCTCCCAGCAGCAGCATTAACCCTTAGTCGCAATGCAGCTTTTCTGGCAAGGTCACTCTCAGCAACCTCCATCCCAGCTTATTTAAATGCGGTTCGTATTCTACACCTTAAACATGGTATGACTGACCCAAACAAAAACAATTCTCAGTTGGCAACTACACTTCGAGGAATCAAGTGTGTAAAAGGTAAAAGGTTTAACACTGTCCCAAAAGAAACCGATTACACACCATTTCCTATTAGCCTTCAAGAGTCACTTAAATTTGGACAACCCTTTGCATGCAACTTTCTGGGCAGTTTGCCTAGTAACGTTCTTTGGCCTCCTACGTAAGGCGAATTTGCAATGCAAAGGATTCACACAGTTTGACCCGTCCAAACACCTACGCCTGGGAGACATACTCTTCTTTTCTGACTGGACCAGCATCATTAATCGATGGTCAAAGCCCATCCAATTTAGTCAGCACATTTTAATTGCTCCGTTACCTCGCATTGCCCAATATCCACTCTGCCCTTATACAGCTCTAAGACATGCCTTTCGCTTGGTATCAGCACCTTTATCGGGCCCAGCCTTTATCATCCCAGCATCAACTGAGGGAGGCCTGACTGCTCTGACTTATGGAAAGTTTGACTCCCTTCTAAAGCTGTTGGCATCCAAGACGAACATAGACCCGTCTCAAGTTAGTGGACATAGCTTTCGCTCGGGCGGCCGGGGCCACTCTGGCTTTTCAAGCTCAAATCCCTGCAGAACTGATTAAGCGTTTAGGAAACTGGGAGTCAGATGCTTATAGGTCTTATATACACATCCCAGTTAAAGACAGAATGCATGCAGTTCAGCGTCTAGCTTCGTGTGTTTACATTTTTCCCGCGTAAAGACTTTTTCGTGCGGGGTTAGGCGGTGCCTTCATTGGGCAAATGTTATTAAATGGATGGTCTCACTTAGGACCCCTTCCCTGTCTACCCCCAGATTTGACTGCTGTAGTTTTATTTCTTTGACACTCGTATAAGAGAGAGTTAAAGATTTCAATACCTTTTAAATTTTATATGTAATACACAATTCAGTCATGTACAGCTGCGACATGTTTCAATAAATTATCTATCTTCATGTAATATCTTAAAGTTGAGCGACACCAGCAAACCGTGCAAAGAAATTGTCATAAAATACAAACTTCATCGATAGAAACTCGACTTCTTTGTGTCCTCCGCGCACAAAAGAATCCCAATTGAACAAGACCTATATCGGAATTATAACCCGAGAATTACATGTACAGACAGCAACGGCAACCATCTCCAAACTTATGTCTGAAAAATGCCACTGAAAAAGCTTCTCTTCCAAAATAGCTGTGAACGAAAATGTTACATTTCAACGAGGAAATTTGTTAAGTCCGAAAAGAGAGTTGTTCTCGTAGAAATGTGAATAGTCCGCAAATTGGAATGGAATAGTTTTTTTTTTATTTTCTTGCCTCTGAAGAGAATTGTAGAGAGCTTGCAAAACAACAATGGAAAGAGGGAGAACAGTAAACTTGAGGTCAAAATTTAAAGCTCTATTTTGTCTTCTGTTAAGCTAATCCAAACGGGCCATTTTACTCAAGTTCATTCATTTTCCGCATATTTCGAAAAAAGTTAAGACTACTTGTAAATCCTATATTACCTCACATCCTTACCCTTGTCATAATTTTTACCGATAGTTTTTGAAAGGCGACGTCGTTTTCTTTCATGTCATCATTTCACGATGTGAAGCAGCAAATTTTCATTATTTTAGCACTTTGGAAATATTTGAAATAAAAGGCTGACAGAATGATGAATGTCTCAATGTATATATTATATATTAAACAGAAACCACATGGAAAGTGTGCTCAGTACGGTATTTACTCACTCGTTTTTTGTATTAGAAATCTTACTAGTTCACTGTACTAACTTTTTCGCTGATACAAAAACAACGAGTACGTAATTACTGCACCTTCCAAAAAGTATTCTATATTTGTTGAGGTATTTTATATTTATTTGTCATAGACTATTTTACAAACAAAAAGTAAAAGGTTTGAGTGCCAACAATTGTGTATCGTCATTAATAACCAAATTAATACACGTTCACTAGGATCGAAAATTTAGATGAGGGAGTCGCTGCTACGATATGTTACAAAATGTTTCTTCAATGAAAGATTAGTAGGCCAAAAGAGCCTTTGCACCCATGCAAGTCCTTGGCTCGGAGGCGAAAGATATTACTAGATAAAGTGAAAGATCTCCATTGGCCTCCCCAACCCCATATACCTTTAACTAAATCGTCAAATGTCAAAACTAAAATGACTAGACAAGCAATAATTTTAAAAGGCCGCCTTGAGCCACCAAGAATGATGCATTGACGAAAATTGTTGTCAAGATATTCTACAAAAGAGACGCCTTCCCTCTTGACGCATTGGTGAAACAGTTAGCTAGTTAAGAGCCATCAGGGTGTCCTAATACATCAACTGTGTTTATTCTACGAGGAATATTCTATTCTTTTCAACGGATTGATGTTCAATAAGTCATCAAATTACTTAAGGCTATCGATGTAAGTAAGGCAACTGGGCTTGACAAAATTCCAAACAGGCTTCTGAAGATTGCTGCCGATGCAGTGTCGCGCCCTCTTTAACGGGCATCTTTAATCAATCGTTAGTGATTGGTATTTTCCCCTCTGACTGGAAAATGGCTAAAGTGTCACCAATTTTTAAGAATGGTACTAAGTCTGACCTAAACAAATATCGGCCTATTCTCTTTCTTACCACTCCTTCTCCTTTCACTTCTTTTGTTTTTTGTCTTTTTTCATTCCTGCGTTATTGCCTCGGACGCCGGATGAAAGAAAAAAAAAGCGGCCAGTTATTGTGCAAACTAAAATCCAAGTAGAGGAGGTAGTACCACTTTAACACCGGTCTAGATTCAGAGGGAAACCAAAAGTCAATAGCGGGCGGAAAGACCAAGAACGACATAGCAGTTCATAGAGAATGACGAAACCAATCAGATTGCAGAATTTGGAGAATTCCGCGGCTTGCTCGCAAACTGAGAAAAAAAAAAACATTCATCCACTCTTCAATCCAGCACGTAAAGACAATTACTCTCGGCCACAACCAAGTTAATGGAATAGAATGATTTATTTAATGTCGAAGACGTGGGAAGTGTTTGCACATCTTCCGAGCCAGAGGCTCATGTTAAAAACGCTCGACAAACTAAATGTACAAAACAAGATAGAATGTGAATTATGCACATTCTAATATAAAAAAACCTAACTATTAAGTACATCGTAATCTAGCTAGGAAAATAAATTACCGTTTTTCGGTCAACGAGATTACTCAGCCACAACCGGGCACAAAAAGACAGTTTTCTCGGCCACCACCGAAAATAAAGCACACACAAACAAAAGAGTACACTAAGAACGGCAATTTATATTAGGCCTCCACCAGGAAAGTATAAAGTGAATCTACCCTGCTACAACCGACTATAACGAGACAAGAAAAAACAAAAGCTGCATGTGGATTTGAGATAACTCCTGTCGGACACAATCGAAACGAATAAGACGAGAAAATAGTTACGTTCACAGAGACAAGCAAAAGCCAAACCAGCACGTAAAATCATTACTCTCGGCCACCATCGTGTGAATGAAATTATGAATCGAGAATTTCTGTATACAGCGTGCGTTGCCATTGAAACGTGATTAGCCAAGGCAGCCGCGTCAAAAGACAAACGCGCATTTTTACCACATGACCAAGTTTCCCCTTCAATTGTCGTTTACTGGTCATTATTTCTCTCCACAAATTAGTAGTTTCACTTAATTTTTTATCCGTAAGAATTGTTTTGAGCTGTTTTTATTTACTCGCTTTCTACCATGAAATTCTAAACTTGAATCAGACGTTTGCCGTTTGCCGCAAACATGAAGCTAAAACTCTAAATCAAAGCGGCCCCCAACCGTACAAGGGAAACGTCAAGACAATATTTCAAAGCCGGCCCCCACCGACCAAAATACCGACGTAAGAAAAATGACTAGGGCAATCAGGAGACAAGTAAACTTAGTGAAAGCAAAATATAGAGTTAAGAAATGAATTTAACTCTTGTGGGGTAGCAACAACAGTATTAGCTGGCGCTGAATTCCCGACAGACGGAGCATGCAGCAGCAGGTGGCGCCTCGGGAAAGTAAACAGACAAAACAACGACTTGCAGAGGTTGTTTATCGGAAAAGATCAAGGAATAGTAGGAAAACCAATCCTCCCGCCCTTGCAGCTAAACTGGGCAAATCTGTTTGCACGTGTGTTTATTTATACACTGGCGGAAAGCCACTCCCGAGGGAAAAATCCAAACACACGCTTGAGATAGAGCTCTCGCTAGTAATTGGTCAGAGTTATAACCAGTTTTACGCGAGCGAGCATTGCATGGGTAAGCTATGTCTGTGTGGGGTGGGTTTACTGATTGCCACGGTGCGAAACACCACTGAAGAAACTATTATTTTATGACTTCCTTCTTTTTTTGAAAAAAATAAACGATTTTGGTCAGTTAGAATTTTTAATGTATTATCATAGTACATCTTTACATGGATGACATCAATATGAGACAGAGGTTATAAAGAGTTTATTAAGAGACTGATCCGCTTACTCAATCGATATTCAAAGATTACACTATGGAATTGCATTACACTAATTGTACCTTTCTCCATGCAAAGCATTTTCTTGTCCGATGCAAGTGCTGTCTTTCCCGATGTTATAAATGCGCATCTTGCCAGCCTTCGGTTTGCTGGGCTCCACTGTTCTTTTGGCAGGCATGTCAACGGGTGTTGGGCTGGGCAACACACTTGTGTGAAACCGCTGTTTTGACTTGTCGACACAAACTTGCCCTGGAAAGGGACAGATTTATGGTTTATCAAGTTACCAGCAGTAGCCTCTTGCAGTGTTTCAACCACGAAAACAACTTAAATTAACTCTTCACATGGAGAGGATAAATACCATTAGCCCGAGAAAACAGCGGTCTCTCCTGGCTCCTCGCCGCTAGGGAAGTTTCACCAGGAGGGACGTCTGCCCCTCAGCAACAGAAATTCCACACTGATGATGAAATTGATGTTTACATATACGGGGTTCCAAATGAATAGTTCTTCGATTTTATGTTTCTCCTGGTCGATTACGGTAAAGTTTTGGGTTCTTCTGCGAACGAGCTCCAGCAAAACTCAGACGCTTCTTGTAAGGAAATATATATTCCACGAATATTGACTGTTTTGTAGTAGATTCATCACATTTTCATTTGTTCTTCGTGGCCCTTTGTCTTTGCCGGTCATTCGTAAACAATAGCTAAAACAATACAACTACTCCGTCGGCCAATCAGAGCTCCTGACCAGATTCCGGACAGATTTTTAGTCATCAGTATGGAATTTTAGTCCCTGACGTCCCTCCTGGGGAAACGACTCCCTAGCGGCGAGTAGCGAGAAGAGACGGCTATTTTCGCATGCTAAAATACCATAGAGATTTTTACTTGCTGCTAAAAAAAATGTAATAGTTTAGTAAAGTCTCAAAAAGGAGGACAGATTTCGAACATCCAGGTCCTTAGTTTTCTCTTGAATGAACACAGCATCGTATTCTTTGTGGTATAGCACCAAGGGTATTTTTCATATTTTGAGACGCACATCTTCAGTTGTTAGAGCCAATACCTTTGTGTTTCGGAGCGTCCTGTTTTGGGTGTTTGCACTGTTTTGCTATAAAAAAAGGGCCTTGACTTATGAACTTAGTAAGTCTGTTGCCTATAAAATTTAAAAAGAAATGTCAGAGGGTTTTTGTTTTGCTTTTTGGGCAAAATAAAACTAAGCTAAATATTTGTCGTAGTCGGGTTAAACAAAGTATTTCCAATAATAGAACCGAGAGGAAAATGCCAGGACAATTCTAGAGTCTTCTACGTCGTCCAAAAAAGGAATAGACAAGCAATTAAGACAAACAGAAACGTTAAATTATTGGCGATTGTTGTTGGTGTTTTTAGCAGGAATCTCCCTTGTTAAAATAACCTCAATTTCGAGGCCTTTTTTGGGAAATGAGCGCGCTTCTTCCCGAAAAGACGACTGGAAGCGTGGATTTGTTGTTACGACTTCCACCAATCAGATCATTGCCTGCCGAAATCGAGTAGGCAGCATAAGTTATTTTTCCTGGAGCAGATTTCACAACGGAAGAGGCTAAGATGTTGTTTGATGTGGTGTGCGGTCGTATTTTGGAGCTTTTTAAGGTTAAAAATCTGAAGCTGGTAAATGGTGAGGAAGGTTTTGTAATTCAACCAACTGGATCAAAATAGTTTCTTGTTTTCCAGTCTGCACGGAATTGGTTAGCGATATCGAAAAAGAAAAGACTTTTAAGTCCATTTTATTTGCTTGTTACTCTTGTAGCAACGACCGTTGTACAAATCAAATGTCTTTCCAAATTAACGGCATAAATGACTTCGATTCTGTTGCCGCTCTAGTAGGGAGATTTTGCTCTTTCGCTTAAAACATAATTTTTTCGGAATAATTTTGCTCTGAAGAAAAAAAAAAATGCAGGCAGCAGGGGAACTCTAAGGCAGGGCAATTTGTGGATATTGTACCACTTAAATTCAAACAAGCCTCAGTCATGCAATATATGAATTAGAATTACAATGTTTCTTTTAAATTTCCCCGCTGCTGCCACCATGAGTAGTAATGACATTTTTTTGTTAAACGCTGTTGTCAAAAGTTGGTTTTAAGGATCAAACGTTCTTTAAGTACCGGCAGACGGCCTTGATACAGAGGATATTTCGGTTATGTCGCCAAGGAGCTGTACTCTTCTTTCCTCTTGAACAGAATCTATAATACCGTTACTGTTGTCTTTGTGATCATGTGTAGACATAGCATCAATCTCTTCCCCCATAGAATTTCTTGCAGTCATACCACTTGGAGGTTCAATGACGTGTTGCTATTAATAACAAACAAACGAAAATTAATCATTAACTTTCAAAGTATAACTTCATGCAAGGCCCAGACATCAAATGTCTCTGCTCCCAAACAGCATGACAAATTAACACACAATCTTCCAAGTCACCAATTAAATCTGATTTCAAGTTCAAACATATGGCGAAAATTAAACAAAATTAGACCCTCTTTCGACAATTTACGTTACACCTTAGAAAAAATAATTTATGCTGCCTACTCGATTTCTCCTCAGATGTGGTGGATAAAAAAAATAAAAGAATGGTTTGCACGAACCCAGATTTATTGGCAAGAATTTGTAAACTTGTCGAACGCAAAAAATTCGGCCTGATTTGTTTTCCAAGAATTTGTTTTCCGCGCCTTATCTACTGTGATCAAGAGCCATTATTGCTCTTAAATGTGACCGACGACTATTTTGGGGGTGTACATATAAGGTTATATCAACTCGATACAAGCTTTGTTTCACTCCAAAATCACTTAGCTTTTCCCTCAAAAGTCACATGAATGTGCCCTTAAGTTAACTGATTTGTGGAATACAAAATTATTGTTTGATTTAAGTCATAAATTTGTCAATGGGAGCTTCGCTTTTAGCTGTGGCTAAATCTATATAGCAAGGTGGAATTCACATTTAAAAAAATAAAGGGTTTGAATTGGGTACAACATTGAGTTAGCCGAATTGGTCTATGCTCCTTGACGTCAACCGGCTCCATGGAAGTGTTGCCTGGAAACCGAAAAATGCACCTACTGAGACGAGACGTCAGACTGAATGACGTTAATTGGAGCTTAGTCGCGACATCGTTGCTAGGAAACTCTGGATACCAAACCGATAGAAAGATTTATGACCAAAGCAAGATGACACTTCGCTTGGCTATTTCGTGAGAGCCACGGGCAAAGCAAATTCCGACAGATTTATTAACCTCACTTCCGCTCGCTTCTCGATGAATTATTCACGCCAGTATACACTGTCACTCTGTCATCAACAACTTTAATTTCCATGTTCAGTACTTAATATACGCTTTGATTAATTTCTTTTCTTCTTTTTCTTAAGCCACCATGAATGAAACCACACAGCCTGTTTGTCTCTTTAAGTTATTCCGACTGGGTTTTCTGCTATTATACTATTCTTGTCATCGACGTAAAAATAAGTTTAAAATATGGTAGTATTTCATGCTTCCTGTTGTTTTTGTTACACAGGCACGTGTGAAAGGCGTAAACGTTTACCTTTTTAGAACGTCTTGACTTTTTATACCATAGCGTTCCTATGACCACGGAAGTAACCAGTGAGAGGATACCAAGACATAATCCAACAGCTAAACCAACATTGAACGAGCCTGCTGCAAAAAAAGCTCCAATATGTAGAGAGAGCAGCCATATTTTGTTTTAAAGGAAGTTAGATTCACAAAATAAAGCTTCTAACATGGCTAAGAGATTGGTAAAAAGTAAATACATTTTATCAAGAATAAAGCATTTTCATTGAATGGTTTACTATCTTTTTGCTTGGAACAACAGCCTGCACAAAACATAGGCACGTTTTACGTGCATGAGCTATTTTGAATGCTTCAGTGTAACAGTATCTACTGTCTTAATCTTAAATTAAGGCTCTGTTTTGTGCGGAATTGGGTATTGCTGTACATTAATGAAAACGAGAACCGCAGCGCATAGCTGATTCGATCTGATAAATTCACTTTTCTTTGTCTTTCTCTCAGACATCTGGTGCAAAATAAACAAATTGTTAAAGTACTATGAATATCAACTCACCAAACGTTGCTTAGAGGGAAGACTCGAAGGTTTCAAGGTTTCTTTATCGTTTCTTAAAATAATGAAGGTCGTCGAATACTAAGATTTTCATCATTGTTATAGATGGTTGTAATATTCACGAAGTTATCAGGTGCGACTCTACTTTAATGAAACAGTCTTTTACTCTGACCACTTAATTCTAAGAGATACTTAAGAGTGTTATGAGTTTTTGCTTCTTAAAAGAAAAGAGCCTAGTTTGCTTAGGCACTAGTTACAAAACTAAAGATGTCTTCATACGTTCTAGCCTCCCACGCAGGCGTTTATAGGGGAGCTCGTTTTTCATCCCTCCCCACAAACGCCTGCTCAACCGAGAACAACCTTCCTTTCCCAAGCTTAGCCAATCACATTGTACATTCCAAATTCTGGAAAGTTGACCTTGACCGCAGGGTAATCTGATAATTACTCGATCTGCATGAAACAATGGGAAAGCTTTCTGACCTCTGGAAAATATTAGATTAAGAGCGGCAAAAGTAAGATTTAGTCTAATTTTAGAATACTCCATGCACTCCATAACCTTAGCGAAGAAAAGAAAAGAAGGAAAACGGTAACTCTAGCGTCACGTTTTAGTCGTGTTTTAGTCTTTCAACACTTTATTTCAAAATTGTTGATTGGTCACTTACCAAGCAAATAAAACAGTGGGAAAGGAATGTTGTTTTCGGTTGAGCAGGCGTTTGTGGGGAGGGATGAAAAACGAGCTCCCCTAAAAACGCCTGCCTGGGAGGCCACATACGTTCAAGTTATTATTATTACTGTGAAAAGCCAGCATGAGATGTAGAATCATACAGTTTGCACGTGAAAGTGTCGGGCTTTGCCCCTTTCGTGCGTGGTTCGTACGTGAGGGAATTCTATCATTCAATCATACAGTTTGCACGTGAAGATGTTGGACTTTGTTCCTTTTACGATTCGTACCTAAAACAACTCAAATTGTTTTCAAGAAAACTTCCTAAAACGATTTTAAAAAATCACCTCGGCTTTACAACGAATACATGATTGTATCTGCAATTAAATTACGCTTCAAGCACCGTACGTTAAGGTTGATAGCCTAACATTCATTTCCTAATCCAAGAAAATTTTCAAACTGCCGAAATATATTTCTACTCATATCATGTTATTCCACTCAATAAAACAATATCTAATTAGCGTCAACTAGCTTCTTCCAATTTTATTCCCTAACGCAACTACTTCTACTTAAAGCCTATTTTCCATATGATCGCTAAGAAAAAAAAAAGTTCAGCGATCGCAGCGATCATAGCGATCATCTTTTGATGAGCATGTTTCTTCTGGATACTTTGACTTTCCTGTTGAAAAGGTAGCTAGAAACACTCTAACTTCATCAGGGAGATTTATTTCCTCTTCAGTGAGCTGGGAAGGCTTAGGAGGCCACGACATCTCGATTTCTTTGAAACATATGGCTTTCCCAAGTTCTAGAGAAACTCGTCGGATGTCATCTATTAATGATGCTTGATCTTCGCACTGCAGATGCTGTAATCGCGCTACTTCTTTAGCCAACTGAAGTCGTGACAAATTGGCATGGATAATAAAGGTTCTGTTGTTACCAAGCAGGTCTTCAAACTGTAATAAACTCCCAAACTCTGCTTGAAGTTTCCTGCGAAGATGTGTCTTGGAGGACTCTTTAGTTTCCTTAATGCCCAGATCTTTCATGTAGGAGATCATCGTTTGAGTATTAGATCAGTGAGCCTTATTAGATTAGGCGTCACCAGCACGTTATTCCTGACGTAATCGAAAAGCTTCTCATACGCTGCTGCCTCAGTGCAAGCATATTCGTCATCCTGAGATGTAAATGATAAAGTCGAGGATGTGCCTGTTTCTGGCTTTGGTCAGGTGTGTTCTCTGTAGCAAGTTCCGTGATAGCATGCCTCAACTGCTACCAAATCTCGTGACACAATAGCTAATAATTTGCTATCATTCTTTGCCAACCCAGTCTTCCTGATATTTTCGTCTGCACGCAGATCAATGCCTTGAATCAGTTTCTCCCGTACATCTTTGCCTTTAGCGTACTTACTAACTTTGTCAAGAAAATGCAAACTCGTTTATACGTTGTGCTTTTTGTTGGGGGTTCCCGAATAGAGGATCTTCTTTCTGATAATTCTGGTTCATTGCATTGAATTCTCTCTTTACATATCTTTTCAACATCTCTCAAGATCTCTTTTCAATGTAAAAATATTGCGGCATTTACGGTAGTACGTAATGGTTGGAAGTTCTTCTCCACCCACTGCTTTGGCGCGATCTAAAATTGGTACGTACTGCCGAACTTCGGCGGCTCTTAGAAGCGTTTTCCATGACTGCAAGTCTTGCACTGAATACAGGTCACCAGAATCTTTGGTACAATGAACTATATCTAAACAGTCATTTCTCATTTCCACACAAGGACGTTTGTTAGGGGTTCCATCTGATTCTATATTGATAATCCTCTTATGTTTATTTCCTAAAAAATTAAGATAACAAGGCTATATTTGGGAGACTTTCGTGAAAGTAGGCCAGTAAAAGAAAAAAAAACCAACATTACACTGTCTGGAACTTAAACAAATCTCAAGTTTTTCTTCTAAATCCCTCATAGCACTAGTCAGCTTCTCTTTCATACACCTCCGGTGAAATTTATCCAGTAATAATAATGTTTGTACAAAGATAGAAATCGGAAAATGAAACGTTAAGTCGACTTATGCATCAATCAATTCCACCTGCGCCCATCCCCTCCCCCCCCGGGCTACTGCGGGGCATTTGCCTGCTTCGTCAGTCCCGGGGGTGGGGCATTTGCAAATTTTTCACTGCCCGGCGGCCGGGCATTTTTCAACCCCGGGGCCATTCCCAAGCTTTTAAACACGCACGCGGTTTCCTATCAGAATATAACTACACAGAGGGTTTTACTGGAAAAAAAGCAGATTGGCTCATCTGTCAAGGACAGGAATAAATTGAAGACGGTTGTAAAGGCATTTTCTCGATTTCATGCATGCATTTCTTCATTGCTTATCAAGCCAAATGACAAAGCGAAATTGGAGCTGTCGATGTGAATCAACGTTTTTTGGTTATTGAATCAAATTTCTGTTGATATTATCTGAAGATTATAAAACTATTCATAACATATAACTTTATAGCGTTCTATTAATTTAATGTCAATAATTTGATATCAACACTAAAACCATAAACTGGTGCATGTCGTCATGTCGTCGTGTCGTCGTTAGAATCGTTAGAATCCTAGCGCGTCGTTAGAATCCTAGTGCTATTACAAAGGAAGACGTTAATTGAAACAAAAAATCGCACATTAAAATGCTTAAAATGAAACTATTCGACTGGGCGATCAATGAAAAATGTTGCAGTGTTGACGGAGGACGGGGCATTTGCCCTCTTTTTCTGTCCCCACCCCGGGGAAATTGACAGCTCAAAAGTCCCCATCCCCGGGCATTTCCCATCCAAGGCAAAAAGAATGCCAATGCCCCGGGGTCAGCCCGGGGGGGGGGGGGAGCTGGACGCAGGTGGAATTAACTGATGCATTATAACTATAGTTTTGAAATCTAGTTCACATCTTGAAGGCTGGTAATTAGTTTTTGAATACTTTTTACCGAACACTACTGCAAACATTGTTTAATTTTGTCTAACTGTATTTCAAAGACATTATTATAATATTGTAAATTGTCATATTGTGCATCGAAATCCTGACCAACCATTTACCTGAGAGATTGTCCGCCGTCTTGGATTACCCATAATGCATTAAAAGGCAGCTGAAAGTAAAATCGCTATAAAACAATTTTTACGTTGTTTTTATTCTTTATTGGTGTCATCGAATAAAAGAAAACATATTTCATCTCTTTCTTCGTTTTAGAAGGTTCAATGTTTATCGTTTCTTCTCTGACACTTTATTTTCTCTGTAACGTCTGGTTTTCATAGAGGGCTATTTTCCATCTTTTTAATTTCCAAAAAAAATAATAAAGCTGCCCGTTAAAAATTGCTATCATCAAAAATTTTAAACAACTTAAGTTAGTCTTTAAACTGATACATGTCACTCTTTCTCCCCTGAAGTGGTAAGAAAATCTGGTCGGGCCCATGGACTATATTATTATTATTATCATTATCATTATTATTATTGTTATTGTAATTAGTAATGATAACAGGACTGAGCGAAGTCCAATTCGGTCTGTAATAATAATAATCATCATCATCATCATATATAGCGCTGTTTCTCTACTGAACCAACAGTGCTTTACAACAGCGAATGATAAAGAAAAATAGGTAACATTAAAAAAAAAGCCTGAAAAAACGTAATAATTAATGATTCCTACAATTCAAAGTAATTTCTAAAAAGGTACGTCTTAAGAGTGGATTTAAAAGATTCTGCTGACTTGCGACGTTTAATGGGAGGGTATTCCATAGTTTTGGGGCAATAAAGGAGAAAGCTCGTTCCCCATATGTTTTAAGATGGCAGCAGGGCTGTACCAGTGTGGTAGTCAGTTACCCGACTATTTAAGTGCATCTCTGAGAGAAAACTCCTATGTTCACTTAAGAAACAAGAGAAATTGTGATGTGAACTTATTGTGCCCTCTTGACAGGAACATCTCAGAGGGAGGACGCACCTTTGCTGTAAGAACTATAAAGGACTGGAACAATCTACCGCGATCACTAAAAACAAGGAGGTCTTTGAAATCCTTTAAGGCTGAATTATGGAAAATAGTTTTAAATTCTCAGAAGTCAAAGGGATCGTTTGACCTAAATTAATGACAATAGATGGATATTGGATGCCCTTCGTTTTTAATAGTTTTCTATTTTTATTTTTATCGAATTCTAGGAATTTTTTATCGTGAATAATAATTTATTGCTAAAGTAGTTTTTATAAATTGTATTTTTATTTTTTTAGGGGGCCACAAGTTGATCAGTAATGTTTAGTTACTGTGACAAGTGCTATGCGTGCATTGTTGTATTTGTTATTAAGATTAGAGTTACGTATTGCGTCAACGCGAATATTTAATAAGCAGGATATTTAAGTTACCTCTTGTATTATTAAAGAGAGCTTATTTCCCTCGTACCCCTCGTATCTCACAAGTGTTTCATGGTGTCTGGAGAAGGGGCCTATGCATTGCCCAATTCGTCTGCAGATACGTCGAATGTTAGAGGTGCTTTGTCTGCTTTACCGCCGCCTCCACCGCTTGATATTCATGATTCGAACGCAGGAGAAAAGTGGAAGGATTTTGAGCAAGCTTGGAAGAATTACTTGATTGCCATAAAGTTGCACTAGGAACCCGAAGCCGTACAAGTTGCAACATTCCTTACCGTAGTCGGAGCTGAAGCGCGGAAAGTTTTCGCTACGTTAACGAATTGGGCGAGCGACACCGACCACAACAAGATTCAGCCTGTGTTACAAAAGTTTACAGCGTACTGTCAGCCACTTAAAAATGTGCCTTTTGAAAGATATAAGTTTTATTCTAGAATGCAAGAATCGGGAGAGTCTTACGATCACTATCGGACAGCTCTTCGACAGTTAGCGGAAAGGTGCGAGTTCGAATCGATTAACCCCGATCAGATTTTACGTGACAAGCTCGCGTTTGGAATTCGCGATTCAAAGGTTCGTGAGAGGCTTCTTCGTGAGAAGAATTTGTCGTTGGAGAAAACTGATGAGATTTGTCGTTCTCACGAGACCATGGTACAGCAGATGAAGGTTGTCGGCGATGCCGGTTTAAGCGTTTCAGATGCCGGAACCGTGAATGCTTTGTCTAAAAAGCGTAAAAGAGGGAAACGTAGGCGCGTTCGTGGCGCGAGAAATGCTAACACACGGGGAAATAGTTGTGAATTTTGCGCACGTGAGCATGACTTAGCGAAGCGTGAGAACTGTCCAGCTTTTGGAAGGAGCTGCAATAAGTGTGGCAAGAAAAATCATTTCGCGAACGTATGTTTTGGACTCGCGCCTAAGCCCACCACTCGCACGCATTCTGTGTATTGTTTCGAAGATGAGCTTTCGGACGAAGTTTTTGGAGTGGAAGAAATTTCGGCTGTAACATTGGATGATCCTCAACTGGTAACGCCGAAGTTGGAATCTGGTAATTATCTTCGTTTTCATCCCGATACCGGAACTCAGTGCAATGTTGTCCCTTTGCATCTATACAAGAAAGCCACTAAGGATGTTGATTTGTGCAATGTGACCCCTGTCAATACAGCGATCATTTCGTATGGTGGTACTTCAATTCCTATCGTCGGGAAAGTTCGTTTGCGTGTATGGCGTAGAGATTTCAGATGCCTGCTTGACTGCAATTTGGTTGACAGCAAAAAACGTCAGACCTATTCTTGGCAGGAAAGCGTGCCTGGGAATGAACACTATCCAGTATCTAGACAACGACCAGTTAAACCGACCGAAGGAGTCTGATGGTGAAGCTTATACACATGATGTTCCGGCCAGTTCCCCAGTCTCCGCTGACCAGCTGATTAAGAGCTTTCCCCGTGTCTTCGCTGATGGCGTGGGTGCACTTGCGGGCGAATATCACATGGTGCTGGATGAGTCGGCTAGACCAGTTCAACATCCTCCTCGCAGAGTTCCAGTTGCGATCCGCGAACGTCTTAGAGAGACCCTGGAAGATTTAGAGAAGCGTGAAATTATTGCTCGAGTGACAACGCCCACCCCTTGGATCAGCTCGATGGTTGTCGTACCAAAGAAGAATGGCAAATTACGCATATGTTTGAACCTGATGGATCTTAATCGTGCTTTGCAGCGAGAAAACTATCCTAGGCCAATGATTGAGGAAGTAGCTTCCCGTCTTCACGGAGCTAAAGTTTTCACGTCGCTTGATGTCTCCAACGGGTTCTGGCACGTTGTTCTTGATGAGGAGTCTTCGTTTTGTACTTCGCTTAATATTATCCCGTTCGGGATCAGATCTGCACCTGAAGTGTTTCAGCGTAAAATGCACGAGTTGATTGAAGGGTTGAGGGGTGTTTAGGTCATCGCGGATGATATTGTTGTTGTCGGTTATGGTGAATCGTGGCAGTCTGCAATTAAGGACCATGACAGGAATCTTCTATCGTTTCTTCAGAGACGTGATGAGCGCGGAGTTCATTTGAACAGCGATAAGTTGTAGCTTAGAATGAAAGAAGTCGCTTTTATTGGTCATGTGGCCACGGGTGAAGGTCTTCGCGCAGATCCATCTAAAGCTCGGGCAATTCGGGAGATGACCCCGCTGGAAAATGTAGCTGGCGTGCAAAGAATCCTAGTTTATGTCTCAGTACCTTAGTAAGTTTCTGCCGCGTTTGTCCGATATTACAAAGCCACTGAGAGACCTCACCCGCCAAGATGCTGAGTGGATCTGGGACGAGCCGCAACGGAGTGCGTTTGAGCGCCTCAAGCAAGCAGTTTCCGCTACGCCTGTGCTTCGTTATTACAATCTGAAAGAAGATGTTACCATTCAATGTGACGCATCTCAGCGTGGCCTTGGTGCGGCGTTACTACAAGGTGGGCAGCCTGTGGCATATGCGTCGCGCGCGTTGACTGACACGGAAGTAAATTACGCCCAGATAGAGAAGGAGTTGTTGGCGATTGTCTTCGCGAGTGAGAAGTTTGATTCGTACATTTATGGCCGTGATTGTGTTCCAGTGCAGACAGATCACAAGCCCCTCGAGTCCATTTTCCGGAAAGAACTTTGTACAGACCCTAACCGTCTACAGAGGACGCTGCTCAGGCTGCAAAAGTACAGTCTGGATTTCACTTACCTGAAAGGAGAGAAGATGTTGGGTGCGGAAATTTTAAGCCTATTTGCCTGAAGTCAATTCCTGTATTTTTGTTCGGGAGCTGGAAGAGGTTGATCACAGAGCTAACTTACCTGTAAGTGACGAGCGTTGGCAACATTTAACCCATGTTTCGGCTGATGATCCAGCTCTGAAGCAGTTGCGCACTGTTATTCAATGTGGTTGGCCTGAGAGAAAGTTCGACGTTCCTATGTGTCTTCGACTTTATTTTGATCTGCGTGATGAGCTGGTTGTTCAAGGGCCCGCGTTTGGTTGTTCCAGCTTGTATGCGCAAGGAACTAATGTCCGTGGCTCATGCGACCCGAATTGGTATCCAAGGTTGTTTGCGGCGGGTTCGGGAATGCCTCTTTTGGCCTATGATGGCGTCCGATGTCAAAGATTATGTTTCCAAGTGTGACGTCTGTTTGGCTCATCGTACGTCCCAAACTAAGGAACCGGTCCTTTATCACGAAGTAGTTGCAAGACCATGGGCCAAGTTAGCCGCTGACCTGTGTGAACTGCATGGGCGTACCCTTTTGGTTGTTTCTGATTACTTTAGCAACTACATCGAAGTGGCGCGTCTTCGCTCTACCACAACGCAAGTTGTTGTTCGCGAGTTGAAGACTATGTTTGCGCGTTTTGGGATTCCTGATATCCTGGTGACAGATAATGGACCGCAGTTTTCTTCTCATGAGTTTCAATTGTTCGCCAAGAGTTGGTCTTTCAATCATGTCACTACATCATCTCGATAGCCTCAGTCAAATGGCAAGGCTGAGAACGCTGTGAGAACGGTGAAACGTCTGTTTGAGAAATGCAAAGAAACCAGTGTGTCACAATTTCAAGCTCTACTTAACTGGCGAAATACACCTTCTGAGGGAATGGATACCAGTCCTGCGCAGCGCCTGATGGGTCGTCGATGTCGTATATTTCTGTCAATGTCGGAGTCTCTTTTAAGACCAAGTTATCCACTACGTGGTGATGTGCGTGCGTTGGCCGGAAGGAAAAGGCGCCAAAAGAATTATTACGATCGGCATGTGAAGCCTTTAAAGTCCATCAACCTTGGCAAGACTGTGCGTGTGAGGCTTCCTGGTGAGAAAGTTTGGTCACCTGCCGAGTGCGTGGGTTTTGCTGGTCCGCGCAGTTACCTGGTAAAGACTGGCGATGCTGTTTACCGTCGTTACCGCCGTGACCTGCTGAGCACTGGAGAACCGCCTGTTACCGATCACTTTGATTCGCCTGTTACCCCTCAGTCCAGTCGCAGTAACGCAGAATCCCCTGAAGCAAATTTGCCTCCGCCTGATGTACCTGAGTCAAGTGTGCCCTCTGTTCCTGAGTCAGTGTCAACATCGGTCGAACAAGGTCGACAGGAAACTCCTGTGCCCTCTTCTGTGCCGCCAACTAATCTTCGACGATCGCAGAGAGAAAGAAGGCCCCCGAAAAGATTTCAAGACTTTGTTCTAAACTAAGGAAAACAATTAAAGACTTTGTTCTAAACTAACGCTGAACCCTGAGTTTTGTTTTGTTTTGGTATACAAGTTAGGGATAAATCGAGCGCTTTGTTTTTGTATTCTATTCGCGTTATTCTCTTTTGTAAGAGGGAAGGTGTGATGAGTGCCAAGCGTGCATTATTGTATTTGTTATTAAGATTAGGGTTACGTAATGTTTCAACGCGAATATTTAATAAGCAGGATGTTTAAGTTACTTCTTGTTTTATTAAAGAGAACTTATTTCCCTCGTATCCCTCGTATCTCACAAGTGTTTCAGTTACTGTTACGTGTCACCCTCATAAAATAAAGTCCCTTACTTACTTACTTACTTACTTACTTACCTGCTTAGTAGTTCTTTATCAGACGAACGTAATGTCCTTGATGGTCTATAGTGAATTAAGAGGTCACTTAGATAGGATGGCGCTAGTAGATTAAGGCATTTAAAAGTCATTAGTAAAATTTTAAACGAATACGCTCATGAACGGGTAACCAATGTAGATCTCTTAGCACAGGTGTAATATGTGCGTGTTTACGTTAGCCTGTTAGAAGTCGGGCTGCTGAATTCTGGACATACTGGAGTTTTCGGACTTGATCCTGCTTAAGAGCGACTTTCTGTAAATACCACGGATAGGTGTGCAAGATGGAAAAATCGAAATCCCTCAAACTTTGTCACAACAAAGCCCTTTGGAAACTATTTTAGAAAATACAAAACTCAGTTCGTTTGACTTAATATTTTCCAAAATAATAATTTTTTTTAATTTTCACCTTCGAGAGGCCTTCAAACCACCGAAAAATGTGCTTGATACCCTCGCTTCGTGAATGGAAACGGAAACTAATACCATAACTTTTCTTACATTAAACAATGTTATGATCCTTCCTTTCTACCTAAACGTTGTTACAATTTCAAAAGATTTCAATCTGATTTTTTAATATTTTTTCAAAATAACCCTCTAAATCAGCATTATCGCGACCATCAATTTTGCCATTTTTCAACGGCGAAAATCCCTTCCTGGTACATGGCTTTCATTAGAAAAATAGTATTCCAGAGAAAGAGCAATGTTTCCCCTATCAATCTGTGAAATAAAATTCTGGGGCAATTGAAACTGCGAGTTTTTACAACTGAAAACATTTACGGTACTCGCGTGATTTACGACCTCTGAACTTGCAGTTGTCGTGATGAATACAAGCGAGAACCTAGACAGCACTTGAAACCCTGACGCAAATTAGCCCCTTTTCCGCCAGTTTAAACACCTAAAACGATTCTAGATTTCACAGTGGTAAATTTTCAAAAGGAAAAGCAATTTTATTGTGCGAAAGTGTGCTATGAACTTCTTGACTACAAACACTTCCCTTACGTGCGTATTTGTTTACTTTTGCCGTACACATATGTACAAAATGGCTAATAGTGTCGGTAGCTATTCTTTCAAATGCTCTCATTTCTCATGAACCAAATCGTTATAGCTATAAAAAAAGGAAAGCATTTTGACCTACCTCACATTATTTGACAACAGACCCGAATCCTTTACTGCCTTTAGCGAAACGAGATTGCGTGACAAAGAACTTTGAGACCCAGGTTATACCGCGCAGACAGATACCATTCCGAAAAAGAAACTCACGCGGCACCTTCTGTAGCTATAAAAGCGAAACATGTAAAAAATCAAAATCCTTAGTTTCGTTGACTTATCTGCCAGAGCGACCCTGCAAACGTAACACTAAAAAAATATTTTTTCGTCAAAAGACTATATAGGGGTGGGCCCTTATACAGTGGAACCGCAATATAAACAACCTACGAATGATTTTCTTTACCTCGATAATAGTAAAATATGCCGTAAAACCTATATTAAAGCCCCCTGTCAAATAACCCCCCTCCCTCTGATTAGCCCCCCCCCCCTTTTATCAAGCACCCGCTTCCCACCCGTAATTATTCTTCACTAATAAATGAAAGACTGTATTAATCAATCACGACCGTAAAGGCTTCGTGTGGACTGATCCGGGATGGTTATTTACCAACGGGAAGTTCGGATTTGATAATGATTTTCGACTGCATGACCTAAAACTTCCTGTACTTGAGCTTTTCCACTTTGTAGGCTTTATGGAGAAGCGATACCATCTTAGTTTCTAAATTAAACATATTAAGCCCCTCCCCCTCAAATGAGCTTGAAATAATAAGCTCCCCGGGGGAGCTTAATAGAGGATTTACGGTATGAAAAAAAAACCTCGATATAACGAAACCTCGTTATAGCGAGCAAATTTCAGGGGCACTCAACGACTCTTTTCTGTAAAATATATCATGGGAGAAGTAGATATTGCCTAGAATTTTCTATAGCTTGAGGACGCCTAAAAATTTCTAGACGACCGTTCCGTTCCTGTTCAATTTTCGAAGGTTATCTTATAAATTCCCTACGATTTTCTGAAGTTTAATTTTTCAAATTTTACATCCCAGGTTAGGCTAATTTTTCATAGAAAAGAGGAAGCCTAAAATGGTCGGATTCAAACATATGATTGAGAGAGGAATCAGAAAAATTCTCACTTTCGTGATACGTTAAATTGCATCTAAAATTTTTGGGAAAATAATACTGAAACCCTTGTAATTTAAAAAATGCTCAATGCAAGTTTCCATAGGATGACCGAACAGGAACAAATTTTACAAGCCGCTTAGAATGCATTTCTAGAGATCTAAAAGTACTCTGGGTGCACCATTGAAAAATGTTTTCATTGAATTTAGAAGGAAACCGTCGTTGGGTGGCTCAGAAATTTTTTTAGGCCCTTGGCCCTTCGTTAAATCGAGGTTCCACCGTAGTCTTTTGTTTTCATCACGCTCGTTTTAAAATACGATTATGAATTCCTTCCTTGTATTCTTAGGAAAAAGCGCTAAGTCGTAGTCTAAAATGTCATCCGTCCCTTCCCTCCACCCCCTAAGGGGCCACAGCAGGTTTCGGGGTGGGGCGAAGGCACGCATAACATTTCAGACTAGACATGGCGGGGCTAAAACACCTGCATAACCTTATAGCACCTCTAAACCTACCTACATTTTCTGTAGTTCTGGCAAACTCGAACAAGATTTGCATTTCTGAGGAACGTTTTGCCAAAATATAGGTTATGGCACATGTCAAGCCAGAAAAAGTGAGCAGTTTGATAGAAAATGTCAAGTACGACTGAACAACGCCCGTGAGGGGAGCCAACATTAGCCGCGCCACTGTTATTTTTTTGCGCCTGTGTATCTCACGTTATGCTTACGCGTATCCGCAAGTGTGTCTTACATCCTACGCTTACGTAAAGGTTATATACTGGAACGATGGGGTGTGTGATATATTCACCTGGTACCGCCCCGAGGGCTACGTGTGTAAGACTGTTCCTTTTCAGATTTTCAATAGCAATGCAAAAAACAATAGCTTTTAGTTAGTGCGAACGGCCTTTCCTTCTCTTTTATTTTCGTTTCCTTTTTTTCTCAAAAAACGCAGTTTTTTTTTCAAGGTGTGAGGGGCGCGATCATTGGTTTCACCGCTCCAGCGTTCCAGACGGACGCAACTATACGGCTTGCAATCTTCTTTAAAGAGTTGCTCAAAAATATGAGCGAAATTTATCTCCAAGGCAGACTCACAGCTAAAGCGCAGACGGTATGTTTAGACCTAGGTCCCCTTCGCTCCATTTCAAAATTCCCCCCTCCCCCTGCCAGAATCATTAGGGGCACTTATACGGGCGCGGTTCAGTCGTACTTGACATTTTCTATCAAACTGCTCACTTTTTTCTGGCTTGACATAAGCCTATATTTTTCCCAAACGTTGCTCAGAAATGCAAAACTTGCTCGAGGTTGCCAGAACTACTGAAAGCTTTGCTTTTAACACCAGAGGTGCTCTAAAATTATGCAGGTTTTCTAGCCCCGCTATGTCCAGTTTGAAATGTTCTGCCTTTCTTCGCCCCACCCCGAAACGGGCTACCGCCCCTTAGGGGGTGGAGGGAAGGGACGGATGGCATTTAAGACTAGGAATTAGCACTTTTTCCCCTAAATGTCATTTTCTAAGGATACAAGTAAGGAATTCATAATCGTATTTCAAAATGTGTAAGCAGGCGTTTATGGAAAGTAAGAGAATATAAGGGCCAACCACTTCATAGTCTGTTGTGGAAAATATGTTTTTTCAGTCTTACGTTTTCATAATCGCTCTAGCGGATAAGTCAGTGAAACTAAGGATTTTGATTATTTACATGTTTTGCTTTTATAGTTACAGAAGGCACCGCGTGAGTGTCTTTTTCGGAATCGTATCTGTCTTCAACCTGGGTCTCAAAGTCCTTTGTCACGCAATCTCATTTCGTTAAAGGCAGTAAAGGATTCGGTTCTGTTGTCAAATAATGTGAGGTAGGTCAAAACGTTTTCCTTTTTTATAGCTATAACGATTTCGTTCATGAGAAATGAGAGCATTTTAAAGAATAGCTACCGACACTAAAGCCGTTTTGTAGATATATGATAACTGTTACAGATACGGGAAAAGTAAACAAATACGCACGTAAGGGATGTGTTGTAGTCAAGAAGTTCATAGCACACTTTGGCACAATAAAATTGCTTTTCCTTTTGAAAATTTACCACTGTGAAATCTAAAATCGTTTTTGGTGTTTAAACGGGCGGAAAAGGGGCTAATTTGCGCCAGAGTTTCAAGTGCTGTCTAAGTTCTCCCTTGTATTCATCAATACAACTGCAAGTTCAGAGGTCGTAAATCACGCGAGTACCGTAAATGTTTTCCGTTGTAAAAACTCGCAGTTTCAATTGCCCCAGAATTTTATTTCACAGATTGATAGGGGAAACATTGCTCTTTCTCTGGAATACCATTTTTCTAATGAAAGCCATGTACCAGGCAGGGATTTTCGCCGTTGAAAAATGGCAAAATTGATGGTCGCGATAATGCTGATTTAGAGGGTTATTTTGAAAAAATATTAAAAAATCAGATTGAAATCTTTTGAAATTGTAACAACGTTTAGGTAGAAAGGAAGGATCATAACATTGTTTAATGTAAGAAAAGTTATGGTATTAGTTTCCGTTTCCATTCATGAAGCGAGGGTATCAAGCACATTTTTCGGTGGTTTGAAGGCCTCTCGAAGGTGAAAATTAAAAAAATTATTATTTTGGAAAACATTGAGTCAAGCGAACTGAGTCTTGTATTTTCTAAAATAGTTTCCAAAGGGCTTTGTTGGGACAAAGTTTTGGGGATTTCGATTTTTCCATCTTGCACACCTATCCGTGGTATTTACAGAAAGTCGCTCTTAAGACTTGAGAGTAGCAGATTATAGCGGAAAATCTTGGATGTTACGAATGCGTGGATCAAAGTTTTACGATGGCGGAAAGAGATATGTTTACTGATTTGAGCAATGTTCCGCAGGTGGTAGAAAGCAGACTGACATATGCTGTTTATTTGTTTGTAATCATTATCATTATTTCTGTAATTATACGAGTTATTAACCAATCAGATTTGAGAATTTTGTTATAGTTATGACGATGATGATGATGATGATGATGATGATTATTATTATTATCATTATTAGTTGTTATTGTTGTCAAGTACGCACGTGCGCACTTTCGCATAGGTACTGGGTACGCAGCTGTTGACATTGCCCGTTTTTGATGAATATAAATCGCCTTGATCTTCCTAAGTAGCTGATCATATAACAACAAGGAAAAAATACGACTGTTGTTGACAGTGACTGACGTATCGACCATGAAGAAGTCTTCTTCATTGCCAGAGTGAGTTGCATTTCATCAGTTGTTCGTATTAAGCTGATTATGGACCTAACTGGTCAATTAAATTGCGTTGTTAATGGTCGTCTGTCAGTTATGATTAAGCTGTACGAATACAACAACAACTATCGTTCAACCACAGCTGCAACGATCTCAGCCTTATTCAGGAATGGCTTAGAATGAAAAAGACCCCGCTGAACACTCAAGAGGCCATTCAAATCGTGAAAAGCTATCTTTAGACGATTGATCCAAGCGTGGTCTGTCGACTGTATCACATGTCTATCTGACTCACCTACTACAACAACAAAAACACGCATAAACAAGTGAAACAGAAACTGACACGAGTTCAAGATACAAAAAGCTAAACGGCGCAAAGTGGAAGCTAACCAAGTCTGAAATATTTCTTCCCGTCCCTTAGACAAGACTGAAAGACAAGCACTTTCCTACGGGTAGGACATAAAAAATCAGTGGCTCCTAAACGCGTATCGCCTGAGGCAATTGCATTTAGCATTAAGGCCTTTCTGTCTCGTCAAAACGAGCTATCAGAATCGACCAAGGACAACATCACAGATTAGAGTAACCTCTACTTTACAATCCATCTCTCTACCGGACATCAGTTTATGCCGGAGGCAACCCATTTAAATGAAGAGAGAAAAGCGTGACGTCGCTGATAGAGAACTGGAAATTTTGATGTTGAACGATGATAATCAAAAACTTTGGATATGAGATTATGTTGCGTAAAATGCCTGGTCACATCCGGGAATTTAACAAGCTAAGTCTGCATTTGAGCTACGATCTGGTCTTTAAAATATGGCGGACTTATAGCCAGGATTTCAGCGACTTTGAATGGATCTCTGCCTCTTATTCTGAGTTATTCGTAACGATTTCATTCAAGATCCCATACCGTAGAATAAGGCCAGGTTATCGGATCACTCAAGTTTTTCTCGCTAAAAACCTATCTAAACACGCCATTTTTGTATGGATAAGCACGTTCGAGTACTATCATGTCAACATTAAAACAAAATTTGCAAAAACAAAGTTGCGAACGGTATCATTTGAAATCGTGTGATCTATCGTCCGCCTTGAAAACCATTAAACGAAGACATATGATAAAAAGTTGGGCTTTTGTTTTCCTTTAAATTTAATCTGGGCCAGTGAGGGATGGACAGCGCAGAATAAAATTTCCAGAAAAATTCTTGTTTCCAGTACTCTTTGAACGTTTTGTTGTTTAAAAGTGTGACGGCAAAAAAAATCGCACAACACTAACCCCTAAGCTGAAAGAACATTTTTTGGTGACCTCACCGGGCAGGGAATTCTAGCTACGCGATGACGCGTCCAGCAGTGATGATGTTTCAGCAAAATGTACTAGTGAAAGGACACTGCACCTGTCTGATAGGAAAATGTGGCATTTTCTATCACATAATTGATAATTAATGTTTTTAGAGTACTACTTTAAGCACAATAGAGTACTAAAGTGATGACGTCATAAAAATGAAATTTCTGAAATTATGGGATTTGTCAGGATATTCTGAAAGAACAATGTCCAAGAGGCCTACTTGCCAAAAATGAGCATTTCGCGGCAAATTGTCTCTGAGATCGTAGCCCAGTTATACTCAGAAAACTCCATACAAACCCTTCTAATTTTTTTTTGGGTCGACCCCAAAAAAATTTAGAAGGGTTTGTATGGAGTTTTCTAAGCATAACTGGGCTACGATCTCAGAGACAATTTGCCCCCAAATGCTCATTTTTGGCAAGTAGGCCTCTTGAACATTGTTCTTTCAGAATATCCTGACAAATCCCATAATTCCAGAAATTTCATTTTTATGACGTCACACTTTAGTACTCTATGCCTGCCTTTTTCATTAAATGTGACACAAAACAACAAGGCGTGGCACAAAAAATAGAGAATGTATGGGATTGCTACAAGGGCCTCCCACGTTCCAGTCCAGTTGTCCAGAGATACCAGATCTACGAGGAACCCTTTAAAATCAAACCCCCAACAGTGTTGTCACAAATGATATAAAAAGAAAGTAGCTAGTATAAAAGGGATGTAGGTGAGATGTCCACCAAATTTGCAAATGGTGTGGGCCGATAAAGTGTAACATTAAAATTAAGTTACTCCTTCAATGCAGCTTCACGACAATCACTCTTATCGAGCCAGAACTGTGGTATGCGATGCATTGCCAGAAAGAGTTGACTGTTGCTTTAAAAACTGGAATTTTGTTTCTTTTGAGGAGCTAACGGCATCCCCATGCTCCAAGACAACAAACAGGTTGTTTGCAAGCACTAAAAATGGAACATGCTTGGCTTCACTGACGTCACAGTCTATTATTACTACTTTTGAAACATCACACAGTCAGAGCGTCAGAATAAAGGAAAGGTCATCAAAACGGCCTTTAGTTGTTAAAGAAATTCCCTTTCGTCACAATAATAAGAAGTGGGTCGAGAACAGTGAGTAGAATATGCATGCTGATGTAAGGGGTTAAGGGCACAAGTACTATAAAGTTTCAGACTTACGGCAATTATTCTCCTCCTCATCCGAACCGTCCATGCAATCGGCTTCGCCGTCGCAAAGTTGTGTAACATTAATGCATTTTCTTCCATCACATATCAGGTCTGCTTTAGAGCATTCTGCTGTTGAGGGATAATATTGCAAAGTGATATTTTTTCATCTATTTGTACAAGCTTGTTCTAGGAACATTACTAGAAAAATAAAGATTAAAATCATTTAAAAAATCGAGCCAGAACTGTGCGATGTGACCGCATAGTATTGCACATATGCCAGACGTAGATAACCGATAAACCTATAATCAATAACAATCGATAGTCATGGATATCAAATATCGATGAATAACGATTTCCGATAACAATCGATAGAAATCGATAAAAAAGTTGTGACTTTGATCAATATCGATTTCCGATAGAAGTCGGTAATGTTTTTTATGGATTGTTATTGATTACTATCGATAAGATATTATTGAGCCATTCAGTTGTGACATTATGCAGTTCTCTTAATTGATAAAATACTAAAAGAATAAAACACTATCAGGAACAAACTGCTCTTTGTTTGTTGGTTTGTTTGTTTTGTTTTTAGCTTAAGCGTAGTTCATATTAAGGAAAGAAATTGTTGCGAAAGTGGCAGTAAACAACAACATCAGTGTTCTTATGATTTCAGGGAGTCGCATTAAAAAAGAACTACGTCTAGATTAAATGGACATGTAAAGATCAACTAAAACAAACCAGGAAACGAAAGAAACAAAAAAATGGAATCTGGTCAAGACTGCGCCTGGAGTAGTTGCTGAACCCATACCAAATCCAACACCGTTTTGAATGTATTTTTAAGCTATTTTTGAAAACCGTTTTAGCCTGTTTTGCGAAATAGGTTTTAAATATGGTGAAAAGTGTACTTTTCATGTATTTTTCGAGTGCTTTTAAAGGTGTTCTAAGGTGACTCGACCCAGTTTTTTTGGAGAGGTACTATCCTACTTTGAAGCTCTCTGGTATCCCCATCTTTACTTTTATCGTAAGTCTAACACATAGAATGGATAACATATAGATCAATCTACAATATAACATAAAATTTTTGGCGATCGGAGTAAATGTCACGTAGTTATAATGCCACGCCGCTTTGAGGTCTGAGTCGAAAATCTGCTGTTGCCGGCATTTCTTTGTGAAAATCTCTCGGCTACACATAGTGCGCATTAATGCCTTGCGCTGAACAGAGTTTCAGCAAAATCGCAAAGACCCAATTCGAGAAATTCAGCGGTTTCCAAATTTAGGTCATAATTTATGTGAAAATGAAAAGCCAACTATACACGCTTATATCTAATGAACTATGAGATGTATCCCTTGATTTTGGGGATCTTTATAACAGATGGGTCCTTGCAAGTCGGCAAAAAACTTTAGGGCCTTGTAAATGCGCGAGTCCTTCTCCAGAAAAAAGCATTTTCTTAAAAATTCGTAGTTTTTTTTTCCTTGAAATTTTTTCAGGGCTACAATTGATCAACTGACTACCCGGACTCTGAATTTTATGGTCATTGAAAAACTGTGACATTACCTTCTATAAGCCCAAACTTGAGTAAACATTGAAGATTTTTAGCGTTTTGGCTGAGTTTGTGCTTTGGGAGTTTTCTATTGTTTCTAGTCTGTCATGATACAACATTCTTGTTCAGCACACGTGCAATGACCGTGCTTGGCTGACTTTCGAATGTTCACCGAGATATGATAATTTTGTATGAGAAAATAGAAGGGATTCCCGTCACGTAACGTCTAAGACATGAACACCCTCAGCGCTTTGTATACTGCAGGAGGTACCAGGGCTTTGCTAACAATTTTAGCGTTACTTCTAAGCAAGACGAGCAAGAAAGATTCAAGAGCGAAACCAAGAGTCACAAAAAAACTGACAGTGCTTACAAGTGTAATTAATTTTTTCACTACCAGATAAAAGGATAAGTAATGAGTTGGTTTAATTATTGGCTTGCATTAAACCTATGTAAAAATGATATTTTTTTTAATGGTAAGTAGATTTAGTGTGTAGCATTTCTTGATTTTTTTGCAAAGGCACAAGAAGCACGAAAATTGATTAAAAATTGTGAGTTAAACCTCTACGTATCACGCCATCGCCTGTCTCACCGTACCAAAATTATTATTCTTGGTGAGCATTCGGAAGTCAGCCGAGCGCGGTCAAATCACGCGTGCTGAACAAGAATGTTGTATCATGACAGACTAGAAACAATAGAAAACTCCCAAAGCACAAACTCAGCCAAAACGCTAAAAATCTTCAATGTTTACTCAAGTTTGGGCTTGTAGTAGATAATGTCACAGTTTTTCAATGATCATGAAATTCAGAATCCGGGTAGTTAGTTAATCAATTGTGGCCCTGGAAAAATTGGAAGGAAAAAAAACTACGAATTTTTAAGAAAATGCTTTTTTCGTGAGATTGACTCTTAAAGGCTGACAAACGTCAACAACTAGCGAAAACTATAATTTCTATATGTTTGCTTTGCTCGAAATCGCGCGCATTTACAAGGCCCTAAATTGTTTTGCTGACTTGCAAGGACCCATCTGTTATAACGATGCCCAAAATAAAGAGATGAATCTCATAGTTTATTAGATATAATCCGTGTAAAGTTTGCTTATCATTTTCGCATAAATTATGACCTAAATTTGGAAACCGCTGAATTTCTCGAATTGGGTCTTTGCGATTTTGCTGAAACTCTGTTCAGCGCAAGGCACTAATGCGCACTATGTGTAGCCGAGAGATTTTCACGAAAAAATGCCGGCAACAGCAGATTTCCGACTCAGACCTCAAAGGGGCGTGGCATTATAACCACGTGACATTTACTCCGATCGCCAAAAATTTTATGTTATATTTTAGATTGATCTATATGTTATCCATTCAATGTGTTAGACTTACGATAAAAGTAAAGGTGGGGATACCAGAGAGCTTCAAAGTAGGATGGTACCCCCCCAAAAAAACTGGGTCGAGTCACCTTAAAGGGACACAGTCAGCTAATGCACATGCGCATTAGATACCATTTCTTAGCTGATTTGCATGTCACAAGACACGCGCGTGAAACAGAAAGAAAGAAGCGTATCCGGAATACTCAAAACAAACCTTGAAGAGTTGAACTAGTTACAAGCCCAAATCGTGATTATAGACCCTAAGCCACATCAGAGCACACATTTTTTATATACCACTGCAGGAGCCCATCAAATGGAGCCTCCATCTCCCATACAAGCCCTTGGACTCAACCCTTTCCCGACTAGATTTATAATTAGAACGGTTCCCAGGGGAGACTTCGCGCGCCGACGGTGGGAAGAGCCAATCACAACGACGAAATGACACTGCTATTGTACCTCAGCAGGAAATTCGTTGTTGACGGGCCAAACACAATCATAAGCTAGTGAAACGTGACTTTAGCGTTTTCATCCCTCAGAGATTTTCTTTCTTCTTTTCTTTCTAGCGGGTAGATTATACTGTGGAGAATTTTAAACTCTGACTATTTTAATCTTAATTGTGGTTGCTTGTCTCACATTAAGAGGCCATGAAGCTGGTCTGTTACATGCATAATGATACTACTATCTGCAGTCTGTAGTTCTGATAGGATTCGTTTTCTTTAGCCAATTTTTTTGAGCGTCAAGGTTCTTATTTCGGCTAAATGACTCAGTATTAATCAAATTTCTAGTTTTTCAAGGTTTTTTTTTCCGAAATGCCTTTATCTGAATAAATACTTGTAGTCCTTGTGTTTGTTTTGTCCGTCAGCTAGTGTGATGATTCCCTGCTATGTTTTGTAACGCCGGGTTCAGCCATTGTATTCTCGCAAAAAAGTGATCTACAGATGCGAATTCGAAGGAAGGAATTGAGCCTAAACTTCTACATTAACTGCTGAGAATTGTCCCGTTAGTCAGTCATAATTCTTTTGGCGCAGATACAATCCATTTTGTTTTTCTTGAGATAAGTGGGTCTTTGGACTGTAGCGCGATGTCACAAATTCCTCCGTTAGCAAATTACTTTTGAGTTAGCTTCACGGTCGAGCAACTGTTGTCATCTGTTCAACTTTTCAAGTGCCAGATTTATCAGGCAACTCTCATGGTGATACAAGTCATTTGTAAAGGAAGACTGCAATTTCTCAAATTTCGGAACTGAAGCATTCCTCGTTAGTTGCTACTTACGGTGATGACAAAAATCAAATGATCCTGGCACTTTTTCGGCGCTGATCATCGAGAAGTTCCAAATCGTCCACATAACGCTTAATCGTCGACTCTTTTCAAGGTGCATGCTTAAATGTGGGATGTATGACAGCAATATAAACACTCGCAAAGATAACCTTGCCGTGATCCTCAGTTCACTGCCTTTGTCCCATCGCTTCATGCTCAGTCTCAGTCGGGTAATTCATTAACTTTTATTTCATGATACCCAGATCCCAGCGGCTGTAACAATGGACGAGAAGGAAAAAAGGAAAACGGTCGAAGGACGGGCTTCTGAGTTCGACTGCATCCAATTTTATTTTTTCACGGTGTCACACGAGACTCACGGAAATATGACACTTTTCGCGGGAAACTAGCCGTTCTATTTATAAATCTACTCGGGAAAGGGTTGACTCAAGAAATTAATGGAGATGGAGGCTCCATTTGATGGGCTCCTGACCACTGAGAATTTACAGATGGATTTGTCCAGGAAAAGCCAAACATCGACGAATACTTCTGAATTCGATCATCAGTAGAGGTGAGAAATGACACGGAGTCGGCATGAATCATTGCCGAAGGTTCAAGGTCGAGAAAGCTTGATTTTCCAAACATATGTAACCTTTTCCATCGGTTTTCCAAATATTTATAACGATTATTTGCTCGCCAATGTTATCGATTCATTTCTTTTGCTATTTTAGTAAACGGAAGCAATTTCTCCCGCCCGCCGTCTACGCTAAAACTATTTTTGATGACCATTTTAAACGTATTTTAAACGTATTTTGAAAAAAGCAGGTTTAAAATGGGTACAAAAAGATATTTATTTTTCGACTGATTTTAAAGATGTTTTAACATGTTTAAAACGCTATTAAAATGTTATGTTTCAAAATATATTTTAATAGCTGTTTAATCGGTTTTGAAATTTAGTAAAATCATGATACTCGTATTTGCAAATACAATAAAAATACTTTGAAAATAGTATTAAAATACCACAGAAGTAGAAAAGCAAAAGCACGCATGTATTATGAAAATACATCAGAGATAGGATGCAAAAATGCAAGAACAGGGTAAAAATTGTAAAAAAAAAAACAGTACAAAAACAGGATGGAACTACCAGAAAAATTCATAAAATAAAATGAATACAAAACCGTCCTAAATTTATGGCGTACGATCCCCGCCAAAATTCATTGTTTGAATTTTAAATTCATCATTTAAATTTCTACTTGAAATTTATAGCCGAATATAAAATTTTACACTCTTCCTTCAGATTTCGCATCATTGGAAAACGTTTTTACACTCGTCTTTTATTTTTTAAACTCAACTCTTTTACTTGACCTTGCTCGCCGTATATTTTCAACTCGCTTCATCAAATTACACTTGCCAAGTCATATTTCAAACTCGACCTTAAAAAATTTTCAACATGACTTCTGAGTTTTGACAATGAAAATTTAACCATAGCGTTTAATCAGCGTTCGGAGCCCGCCATTCCTACTCATTAACCAATCAGTCGTTACATACCCAAATAGCTCAGAGTATTCTAGTTGTATTCTCGTGAACGCTGTGATAAAATTTCCTCATTGCTACTGAACACTGAATATTCGTCTCTTTTTCTTAATTTTTGCTCTGAGTTTTGGAATTTAATGCTATCAACCCCTTAGCTAAGACAGGAATATGAACACACTTTGTGGCGTAAAGGGGTAGGGGATTAAGCAGTCCAGTCGCAGAATTGCTGACATAACATGTTGGTCTAAAGCTAATATTATGCAACAAAGAGAGATGATAATTCTCTCTCAAGGGTGATAATCCCTTGGCCGCGGAAGGGGTAGTAATCCCCTACAGGAGGTGATAATCCTCCGGGATAACACTCATTCCCATGGCAACACAGCTATAGGGGTACCGATCCCCAGAATGAATAGCTGCCATGAGTCTATGGGTGAAAGTGTGACCAGCATGGGAGCACTTAATCCCGAACCCTGACTTTATTGTACCTTTAACAAATTTAAACACGTCTTAATGAGCCACAAAATATTAGCAATAACAATAACAATATTCTATCTTGTATAGGAATATATATTATTGACATTTGACAATAAGTCAACTTGCCAAAGTTCCTGTCCTTGAAGATTGTTGTGACTATGTTTTTGTTTTGTTTTGTTTTTTTGTAAAAAACTATAACTATTAAGGCTTCATACATTGTCTTTGAGTACTACTAATTGTAAAATCCTACCAATACAAAGGGACGGGTGGGAGGGAACTGTGATTCTTGTCAAAGCTGAAGAACTGAATGATTCAAAGAACGAAAGCAAACGGACGATCATACTTTGATTGACAGGGAGAAAAATCAGCGCTGTTATTGGACAATAAATTGACTGCACGTGAAGCCATGCGGGCTAAATGACCTTTGTACCCTTGTATTGCTAGCATTTACAAATACATTATTGTTTACTGTTAGCTAGACTCTAATAAGCTAAAGGTTGTATCATTAACTGTAATTTATATTTAATGCTATCAACCCCTTAGCTAAGACAGGAATATGAACACACTTTGTGGCGTAAAGGGGTAGGGGATTAAGCAGTCCAGTCGCAAAATTGCTGACATAACATGTTGGTCTAAAGCTAATATTATGCAACAAAGAGAGATGATAATTCTCTCTCAAGGGTGATAATCCCTTGGCCGCGGAAGGGGTAGTAATCCCCTACAGGAGGTGATAATCCTCCGGGATAACACTCATTCCCATGGCAACACAGTTATAGGGGTACCGATCCCCAGAATGAATAGCTGCCATTAGTCTATGGGTGAAAGTGTGACCAGCATGGGAACACTTAATCCACAAAAATACACAAAGTGTATTCCCCATAGACGAACAGAACAAATATTAAATGATATGCTAAAGCCATTTATGATAAGCTTTAATAAAGATGCATAGAGTGGTTTTGTCTAAGACCCAATGAACTGAAGCTCATGAAAATATCAGATACTGTGTAAAGCACTGAATAGTAAAAATTTAGTATGAAACAACCTTGCACAATTACACACCAGTAAATAAAATGGGTTAACCACTCCATGCAAACAATGTAAACAGTAACTAACTTGAGTTTTGAAGTGGCTTCGAAGCAACCCCAGATAATATTGACTGTGAGCATTGGATGTATCTCTCAGAACAATCAGATGACTACCCTCCTAATGTTTTAACCAACCATGGGGAGGCCTGCTGAGGCTGCAGCTGTTGCTGCACAAACAATGTAAACAATAACTAACTTGAGTTTTGAAGTAGCTTTCAAAGCAACCCCAGATAAAACTGCCTGTGGGCATTGGATGTATCTCTCATAACAATCAGATGACCACCTGCCTAATGTTTTAACCAACCCTGGGGGAAGGCCCGCTGAAGCTGCAGCTGTCGCTGCGCCAATTCTATAGCTATGACCGGCATAATCTGATGCTTGAAAACCGAAATGAGAGAGAAGTTGCCTAGACTCAGCAGTTAATGCACCCTTAGTCAGTGGACGTCCCGAAGCAAAAATAAAAAGAGGTCCAGGTGTAATTCCCCTCCTGGTAAGATAATGCTTCATTGCATATACAGGGCAGATACTCTGATTAGTTTGTCCTATTAAAAGGGTATGCCCCATCCTGAAGGGATCAGTTTTAGAAACCTTGACTTTGACTAAAAGATGAGAGGAGTTGGAGAGACATGAGTGAAAGATAATATCAAGAGGTGTAAGATGAGCATCAGAGTTAAATTGGGAGTTACATGTCCGTTCACCTAACTGCATGAAACCAAAGAAAGCTAACGTCATAGTAGCCCAGATCATTACAGAGTCATAATTTGAAGTGTACCTGATTGCTAGAAGGGAGTAGAAAAATTTGAGGTGGGATATTGTAATTGGCAAACGAGTTCTGATTGAGCTACCTTGAGATCTCTTAATGCCACGGCAGACAAGGTGCAAGCGATGGAACTTCTTCAGGTTAAGCTGGTAGCCGTGGCGGATGTGAAAATGACGGACTGCTGCCAAGTATCCCTTGATAGTGGAATGCTTGACCGATTTAGCAAGGAGTTCTTCAGGAGTTCGGGTGGGACCAGACATTGATCTCGGTTGGCATGGGGTACTAGCTCCCTGAACCGATCCATCTGAAAACGAGAGAGGGAGTCAGCCATGTCATTCCTCTTACCCTCTATGTGCTCAGCTCTAATACAAAAATTGAACCTTGGAGTCAGAAGGGTCAAATGACGAACAAGGTCCATGACCCTTGGGATACGGGACCTCTTTGTGTTAACAATACTGACAACTGATTCATTGTCACAGAAAAACTGAATGTGCTTGTTTGAGAAAAAATTGGCCCATAGATGACAAGCAACAACAAAGGCAAACAATTCTTGCCATGCAGTGGAGATCCCTGGCTGACCTAGTTTTTGATGGGGTTCCCATGAGCCCTGAAACCAGTGGGTTTGAAAAATGCTCCCAAATCCCAGAGAACCAGAGGCATCTGTGTACAGAGACAAGAAAACTGAAGTGACCCAATGAGAAGGCATAAAAAAACACTGCCCCATTCCAATTGCTTATAAAATCCTCCCACATCCTAAGATCTTTAAAGAAACCCTTGCTCAACTTAATACGACGGTGAGGTAAAGAGACGTTCCTAGTGAGTTGGATCATACGTTGCGGAATAACCTTGCAAGCAAAGTTGAAAGAGTCAATAAGAGACTGTAGTTCCTTGAGTGTGCAGGACCTTCTGCCTTTTTAAAAATTCAGTGAAACAGGAAGTGAGACGTTGGACCTTATCAGGAGGAAAGCGTGCCTCCATGCGGTCAGAATCAAGAACAATCACTATGAATTCAAGGGTTGTAGAAGGACCTTGTGTCTTATGGGGTGCGATGGGAATTCCCAGATTCTTAAAAGTAACCAACATGCTAGATAAGCTCTGTTGACAAGCTAAGTTGTGGGGCGAGGCGATGGGGGGTCAATATCAAGAAAATCATCTAAAATGTAGCAAACAAAAGAGATGCCACAGTGATTGAGAAGAAGCCACTTAACTGCTTCTGAGAGCTGATTAAACAGAAAGGGTGCACTCCTTAAACCAAAGGGGAGAACCTTATCATAGTAGAATTTCCCTTCCCACTGCATGCCAAAGAGCTCATAGTCACATAGCCTTATGGGTATGAGACGAAAGGCAGAATCCACATCAGTCTTAGCAAGGAAGCAACCACGACCATTTGCTAAGATTCCTTCAACAGCTGTGTCAATGGTGATGTAATTCAGGCTAAAATCTTCCTTTGAAATTGAATAGTTTATGCTAGTGACACCTGACTTCGGGAATGAGAAGTGAAAAATAGTGCGGAACTTATCCGAGTACTTTTTAGGTCCTAATCCTATAATAATAATAATAATAATAATAATAATAATAATAATAATAATAATCAGTTTATTAAACCCTTTGGTAGTGTATAACACTAAATTACAAGGGAGGTCAAGAATACGCAGAACACATAATTACACATGGCAAGAAGGCAAAAACAATTAAATCCTATTGTAACTGTGGGTAACAAAACTACTAAGGCGGTCCGTTCTGACAAGGCGGAATTCAGAACGGGAAAAACCCGACCTCAACCCGTACCCATGAGCGACATTCGTGGGCTGCAGCAGCAGGTGTGAAAGGAACCCGGACTCCTTGACGTTAGATATAAAACGCCCGCAAGCCTCATCACGGCGCGACAACAGTGTAGGCAAACCACAGCACACGAGTGCCGACTCATAAGAGCAATCTGGAAAAATTATTCCTAGTGCAGACTTCTGCACGCTTTCCACCAATTGAACCCGAGAGTTGGGTAACGCGGCCCACACCGGAGATGCATATTCTAAAATGGGCCCTACAAGGCTACAATAAACCTGAATGAGATCAGCTGGTGGGAGGCCTGATTTCATTAAGACACGCAAAACGTAGAGACGCTTGCGTGCTCTCTTCACAATATAGTCGCAGTGAATAGACCACGATAAATTGTGCGACAGATGGACACCGAGCAACTTATTTATAAGATGGCACCTACTCTATAATACTGCCCGATAGGTGAGTACTTGAAAATTGGGAAATGATGGTGTTGAAAAGGGGCCCGCTAACCGACCCAGAGATACTTCCTTATCTAAATTGGCCTTCACAATGTCAGGTTGGGCCAAAGCAGTAGGCAGGTTTCTTGAAAATCTTGGGGAACGTTACCCAAAGAAACCTATATTAGCTCCAAGTTTAAAGGTTTGCAATAAATTAGAAACAAAAACCCTGTTGGGGTGATCAGCTAAAGCAATCTCAACTCTATTTACATTAATAGGAGTGGGGAGTGACCTAGCAAACTCATAATTTGTGGTGACCTGAGGAACTACTAGATTTGGGGGGACGGTGGACCTCCTCGCCAGCCCTAGCATAGGTTTTCTTGTCCTGATCCCTGACATAGCCTCCTTTGCTGCGGTCCCTACTGCAGTCCCGCCCTGGGTGTTGGCCCTAATATCTATTACAGATGTGTTGGTACTCGCACTGGCCCCTACTACAGACACCAACTCTGTTATATTGGTGGAAAATGCCTCCACTATTGAAAAGAGGATACTCCTCTTTTAGTGCCAAAGGTGACACCGTAAAAATAGTCAGCCACAAATGCTGATTTATCTGCGACCATACAAGAGACTTGTCAAGACTGGCCTTTTGCCGAAATTTGTGGTCGTAAATAGCCCACCCTAGTCCCTTATGGACTCTAGCTGCATATCTGATTAAACCCAAGTATTGCAAAAACTCTTGGGCCCTTAAGGGGTATTTGTAAGTGAATACACTCATGTACGTAGTGAACGCCGTCGTCCATTGTTCAATTTCTGTTATTTGAGACGGGCTGCTTTTTCTCTTCTTGGTAACCTTAATAGCTGAGTTGTCGAGAGTCAATGTTAAATTAACATCCTCGTCATACATGCTGAGGTTTTTTGGTAACAATTTTGACAGATCAAAAAACTCACCACTTTGGATATCTTTCACGTACGACGCAGGGATGTCCTGGTTTGGGACGGAAAATGCTGGCAGTTGTGGTGACTCAGTGTTGTCACAAAGTGGATTTGGATCGCCTGGTGAAGTTGTATGCCTTGGTGGATCGGTGTCTCCTGTTGGATTTGTATGTCTTTGTGGAGTTGTACCGACAGCTACAGAGTTTTGGTTCCGTGGAGCAGTCACGGCGGCACGAGCTGCTTCAGTGGCGATATCGCGGCTTGACTCGGCAACCTCGTCTTCTATCATGGTTCTCAGCGTTTCCAGTTGATCCGCAGAGAAGAGCTGCAAGTTACCACGGCTGTGTGGGTTGTTATCTATACTAGGCACTTGATTTGAAAGAACAAGATGATTCTGGCGCTGATTTGGGTTTTGACTGGTTTCGGCGCGGCGCTTCGGTGGTCGACCTCGTGGTACTGGATGCTCACTATTTCGTTGCTGGTTGCTTCTTTTCCTCGACGATGACATGATGGCAGGTAAAACTGTACTGAACTCAGACAGGATGTTGAGATATCAACGAAAGAAATACTGTAATTCTCGTAGAAAACAGTGCCAACTAGCTTGAAAATTGTGATTCTTGTCAAAGCTGAAGAACTGAATGATTCAAAGAACCAAAGCAAACGGACGATCATACTTTGATTGACAGGGAGAAAAATCAGCGCTGTTATTGGACAATAAATTGACTGCACGTGAAGCCATGTGGGCTAAATGACCTTAGTACCCTTGTATTTCTAGCATTTACCAATACATTATTGTTTACTGTTAGCTAGACTCTAATAAGCTAAAGGTTGTATCATTAACTGTAATTTATATTCTATAAATTTTCTTTTCTATACCAAACAAAAATGTTTTATACTTTGATTTCAGTGTCTGCTTTACCAGGTATCCTTCCCCGTGACGTGTCAACGAAAAACGAAACAGAAGTCACACATCTCGGTGATGTCGTTCACCATCGAGTCAAACGGTGGAAAGTCAATTTTAAATTATTATCTCATTACGTTTTCTATCTTTCAATAAAAGATCGGAGTCATTCCTGTGTCTAGCAGCTCTTTCTTGAAACGGTGACGCCATATTGGCACTGCGGAGCCATTCGGAACGTTACCATAGCGATTTTGAAATTATGTGTAAACGCTGAGATTTCGCACCAAAATTTAGAGCAATTTGTCACTCCAGATATTACGGCATAATAGTCCGAATTTTCTATACCAAACAAAAATGTTTTATACTTTGATTTCAGTGTCTGCTTCATATGGAATCTTTCCCCGTGGTGTGTCAACGAAAAACGAAAAACAAAACAGAAGTCACACATCTCGGTGATGTCGTTTACCATAGAGTCAAACGGTGGAAAGTCAATTTTAAATTATTAATAATTATTAACAATTTCAATAATTCACATTAGCTATCAAACTCTTCAGCCACTTTGAAGCGATTTTCGACTTGCTCCATAAATGGTCATTTTACAGAGAAATTTTCTCACCAGAACTCGTCGGCACGTAAACTGTTGGTGTGAAGGTCAACAATTGTAATTTTTCGACCGGTAAGCTCGTATCAGGAGACAGCGGGACGGTATAGCCCTGCAAGAATAAAGCATGCCATCAATAGGTAACATTTCATGATGCTTTATATAAACGCTGAGTAGAGTCCTCGTTTTTCCCCACGTAATCGAAACAGAAAGACTAAATGAACTTGGAAGAAATTGGGCCAATGTCATTTGAGGCTCCTTAGCGAGGCAGGCAGGCATCACCTAAGATGGCAGTCGAATGATAATGTTGACGATTCTTACATTTGCCCATATAAATGCTTGTTCACCCTTTTTATGGGCAGACAAGTACGTTAACTGTGTGGGCATGTGGTAAACAAAACTTAACCCTCGGACGTAAAGGAGGGGGTGTTTGGATTCCGCCCCCTCCGCCAATAAGGTTTTTCTGAGTTTTTTCCTAGAGGATCAAACACCAGCACCTGACGATTTCAGTAGCTAATCGTTCACATCCCTTGCGCACATTTTGAGACAAGTTCAGTGATAGTCAGTTGCTATAGTTACGGTATACGACGTTATAAGTAGCGGGTGGTGAAGCCATTTTTGTGTGAAAATACATCTTTTTTCAACTTCTTTCAACAATAAAAGTAAATCTTGTGGCTAAAATCATACAGAGTGCTTATTTATGTGTTATTTTTCATGTAAAGCTAACAAAATTATCATTTCTCGCGGTTTTAGCCTGATTTTTAATCCTTGGTAAAATCCAAGATGACGGCCAAGATGGCAACCATTGTTGGTGACGTCACAGGCCCCCAGAAGCGCCACCACCCATAAAATATACCTCATCTTGTTAAGAAGATCAAAGGCTTTCCACTAAAGGTAAAATTTCGACATACTGCAACATATCAAAAACACCCCCCTCCCCCGCTTGTACCACAGTGGGGGTATGAATTTGCGTGTACGTCCGAGGGTTAATGGTAATAGTAAATCTTGTTTTGGAATCTGGCCAGTCGCATTTGCCGAGAAATGGCCGCAGAAGCTTGAAATTGGGTTTGAACAAATGGAACACGATGAAACCCCACTACTTCAGATACCGTAAACTACCGCTTTATAAGCCCCCAATTATAGGCCCATCTACCCCTAAACCAATTAAAACATCCGATTTTAAGATCCCCGGTTGTATCACCCCACCCACCTCCCCATTATTGCCTGCAATGTAATGAATTCAATTTATTATGAGGTTTTGATGCTTAATTAAAAACCTTTTAATGCAAAACGTATTGTGATCAGAACTGCTTCAGCTTGATTCGATACGCTTTTTAAAATCAGCTCCGGTTATAAGCCCTTTCGTTTTTAAGCTCTCCTAAAATCCCCACGTGAAGATGTATAAGCCCAGGTATTTAATATGCATGCACTGAGGTTTCAATATAAAAGCTAAACCATCTCCATCCGTTAGCCAATCCGAAAGGTAAGAAGCCCGAGACTAAATTGAATCATTTTGCAATAGCCCTTTTGATCTCAGGTATGCATCGTAAGATAGCTCTGACTCCTCGAAAGTTAGTTAAACGGAAAACTAGACAGCTAGAGCATGATGCAGAGAGCACGGCTCAGAGAGGTGTGGAGGAGGGGGGAGGGGCTAATGCGTTTTTTGTTGTTGTTGTTGTTGTTTTTTTATCCTCCGTCTGTTAAGATTTGATTATCCGTTAAGGACAGCTGATATTTTGACAAATCTCCTGCCCTTTTCTCTCCATTTCTTCCCCTCTTCCTTGCGTCTATCTATAGGACGTTTCTTGCCTCATTTGTCCACTTACAATAAAGGTCTGGTTATATGTTATATATTGATAAATTTATTCTACTTACTGTGACGTAAAATGGTGTTTTTTTTTCTTTCGAAAAAGTAAGTTTCACACTTGTTTGATTCTTAAAGGGAACGAACAAAAAACACATTATAAAATTCAAAGAAATTGTGAGAAAATGGAAACTGAAATGTATTTCAGTCAAAATTTCAGTCAAATAAAGATGAAGGGGTTAATTCGGTGAATATAAGGAGAGATAAGACTCTCCAAAAAAGCATAAGCTGATCAAGAAACTGATACTGATACCTGCATGAGTCAGTATGTTAAGTAAAATAGGAAAAGACATTCATTGTGACATCTCTAAAATTGTACACTGAGAGTTATAAAGTAAAAAACGAAAAGTAGCATAATGGGGAGTAGAATGGAGGGGAAAAGGGTACGAATTGAGGGGGGCATTTCTTCGAGAAACACACAAAAAAAACAAAACGTTATACGCTAAGAAGTTACTTTTATGTATAATTCTTTACCTTGAGCAGAAAAACGTTTCTTACTGGTACCGAATCTTCGGTATAATCAGTCGTATAAAAGATACAATAACCACTCCAATTTTGAGGCGAACCTGACCAAAAGAGTAAGTAAAAAAAAGCAGCGAGTCAGCACCATGAACGTTTGACGTACAAACCATACCATAACCCAACGTTTTTCCACAGACTGATGATTTGCAAAATTGACAACCTCGTCGCCAGGGCGCTTTTTCCAAAGCGCCCAGGGAAAAGCGCCTTGGAGACGAGGTTGCAAAATTGCGGCCAGGACAGTGACTATCAGTTGACATTAAAAGAATTAACAGATTTCTAACAGGGCCATATCGATCACAAAATAACATATCATGATGTTTCTTTTATTATCAGTGAGCGGGGAATTTTAAGGTAGTGGTGAATGGATAAAACCTTTATCTCAAGAAGAGATGCAATTAATACTTTGATCACAAGTTAGTTAATGTGACAAAAGTTCGGAGCAACTGGTGTCCTTAACTTACAGCTATTTACGCTGGTTGAGGATAGAGTCAGAACCTGTATTGCGCCAAAAAAGGCACAGATATTTTTACACGGCATAATTTGCATCAAATGTTTTATAAAGCTTTACCCGTAATGGGACTCCATGACACTTCAACGGACCAATTCGAAGCTTTTCCCCTGTACATTTCGTGGAAAACAACGGTAAAATTTTTTATTTTCCACTGCGGAGGCACTTCGAAAGAACATACTGTTGACAAGAAAAGAAAACGGAGTACAACCACATTAATTATTAAAGCCAGGCCATTATATTGTAAAAAGAACAAACCGTGTCACGGTTTTCGACGCCATCTTGACGGGGTAGGCTATCTAATGTCGAATAATTTCCGTAAAACGGCTCTTCTGAGAAAAAAATATGATTTGTAAACTAAAGCTTCACTCCTAAGGAACCTACTGAAAAAAAATTAGGGTCGATAAATGCACCGGAAGACCTAGAACCACATTTTTAAATTTTCTATACATTTGTCTGTAAGCAAGTCCCAGGAAAATTACAGACAAATATATGGAAAATCTAAAGCAAGCCTCTGGAGAAATTTAAGCACAGGTACGCCCCAAAAATTGTCTAGGACAATCCTTTGCCTTGTAGCTTTAGTTTACAACTGATAGTTTTTTTCAGAACAGCCGTTTTTTGGAAATTATTCGACATTAGATTCTTATACAAAGACAGTAATTTCTCACAAGTTTGCCTACTCATCAAGATGGCGTCGACGAAAACCGTGACAAGGTCTGTTATACGTGTTGTAAGATGAACTTTGTCTCTTCCCTCTTTTTCTGATTCCTTATTACGTAATTATGTACTTTCCTTAACTTATAAGAGCCATTTTCTGAGAAAATCGAGAATCACAAGACACTCGTCACAAAATCGAATTTTTCACTATTTCGCCAAAACATCCCTTTTATTGACCAAACTAAGGAAAAATATTTTGGGGTTCAAACGATTAATTTTAAAGCAGAAGTTATGAAAGGTTGGAAAAATCGACTTTATGCCTGTTTTTCGCACAAAACATGGCAGCACGCATTTTTGAGAGAAGGGTGCACGCATAAGAAACATTCCCTGATACTGAAACAAAGTTTAAATTTTTACAATCGACAAGTCTGAAGAGGTCATGTTTGTGACGTTGGAAATGCTAGAAAATGAAGGCCAACTTAAACTATTACAAAAGGCCTCTGTTATATGCCGCTTGATCATAAAATCAATACAAAATGGTAGCTTGGCTATGGTACTAAATTGCTGGAAAGGTTTAGCTTTTAAATCAAATACCATCGATATCCTGACACCAACTGTTAGTAGCTATTTCAGTCAACACTGGAATTCATGTCAAATAAGCCGTTGAAAATTGGACCACATATTGACCCTGAGTCAGGCCTGCCCAGTGAACATTGTGAGGAACGGAGTTAATCAGTTGACAAGGGACTTCCCCGAAATGATCCCGACCCGAAATGATCCCCAAACCGCTGTACAGACTCCAAATGGCGGTCGTTAGTGTTAATAAATGAAGGGTTCGTCGCGTGTTCATAGAATGGATAGATGATTTATAAAGTTATAAATGTACAATGTATGAGAAATAGAATGTTTTATTAAAACATTTATTAGCATTAAAAAAATTTATCCTAATTTTCCTTTTTTTGCCTATTCCGTTTGATCAGAAGATGAAGGGTCTCTGAAACCAAGTTAAAAAAGAACAATCACCTCTTTAAGGTGATTTCTTAGTAAAAGAACCCAACATAGATTGTAGATGAAACTTGGTACACTAATGTGACAAGTCAAGGTGATGATAAAAAAAGTAATAAAAGATGGGGTTCACCGCGCTCGTTTTCACGTCACAATGCTGACAAATACGGCTATTTAAGACCCTTTGACAAAAACCGCGCGCAGCCAAAAACTGGGACAAAAAGGAGAGATTCTTTCGCTGATGCATGTGGTGTCATAAATTACGTGTTATAAAACCAGTTCCATTTAGCTTTAATTCTTCACTCCCTTGCAAGTATATTTCTTCACATGTTCATATTTTAGAATTCTGTACTCTGTTCTACACTTAAAGAATTCAGCAACATCAATTGGCGCAAAAATTTTGATGATCTATACTCAGTCTACACACTTGTCCAGCTCCACGACTCCGAACGACTACACAGTTCCAAGACTCTTGTACAAAGATCGTTTCTCAGATCACGTGACGAGCTTTCCCGCCACAAGGACGCAATAATTTTCTAACAAGTGGTATCGCACGGAATTTGACTTAAATGTATTATTTGTTCACGTACGTACCAAAAAATGCCCTTCAATGCCCTTGTTTTGACTCAACGCTCCAAAATAGACTTAATTTGGACACGCGCTATTCAACCCGTTATAGCTCAATCCGTGCAATTTCGTAAAATCGCCTAAAAACTGAACAAGAACGAGAAGTCCGAAGACTACAGCAAAGCTGATTTAAAACAACGTGTATTGTTTTTTATAACAATATTTCGGCTGGCCATACCAGCCTTCTTCAGGTTTACAGATGTTCTTTATATTTTGGCTGATTTGATCTCTTCTCGAGAGATCTAACGTTTACAACTAGCAGGATCTTCGTCCACGGTTTTTGCAGTTAATTTAATCCTTTAAAAACTGAACATAGATTTATGCCAATTGTTTTCTCATTGAAAGGAAGCAATGTTCTTATTAAAATCACGAAATAAAAAGTGGGGGTCACCGTGCTCGTTTTTGTGGTAGAGTTGCAGAAAGTGCGCACCAAATGAATTTCCTCCGATTTTTGAGAGAGGACTGGGCGACTTTCAAAATGGCATGTATGTGGAAGGGGCAAGGAAGGATTTTTTTAAAAAAATCCGTTTTTACAGAATTTACATCGAGATATCACAGGTACGACAAAATGTGATAAAGATAGCACTTAAATGAAAATCAAATTGAGTTAGCACGAGTTTAACCGCTCCACTATCGAGGTTCTCCGTGAGGAAGTCGAACTCAGCAACACGCGTAACCCAGTACCAAGTTATCAACGGGGTCGTGCTGACTAAAAAATTAAAAAATCTAATAAATATGAATAAACAAAAATATATATAAAAAGGAAACATGCACTAGGTTAAAAACTACAATAAAAGTTACAAGTAAAAATCGTCCAAGGCTTTCCTAAATAAAACTTTAGAATTAATGTTTTTAAACTTAATGGCAATGAATTAAAAAGCGAGGCACCTAAGAAATAAAAACGACGGCGCGCAAAATCCAGTTTGACCTTAGGTAGTTTTGCTGCTTACCCATTGTGTCTAGTGTATAACGAATTATGGTGAAATCGTTGAAAATAATTCCTGAATGGGAAACATGTAATTTCATTGAGGTAGTCAAAAACAAAGCAGTACGTTTTCTTTTGCAAACAGTTGTCAATTGCTTGCGTTATGCACATTCCCAACACATTGAGTCTCATCTCGGCAAGAAACAACCCAAGAGAAAATTTTAATAGCATTTCTTTTCAGTCAACATCATTTTAATAATTTTTCTTCAGATGCTCTTTTTCACGGCGGCCATCTTGTTATGCGCAGTAAGAGATACGCAGTGCAAAACCAGCGAATCACATAGATAGCACCGGCAAAACAAAAAAAAAACCAGATTAACGTGCTTTCAAATTCTTCTGCAAGAAAAATATATAGAATGTAGAGTGTGTATGAATCCCTTATACGAAAATGTAAATATCATTGAAGTCAACGAGGATATCTCAATAACGTTTTCATTACAGATGAATGAAGACAAATTATATAAAAAAATCAAAGACGGAGATTTATAACCTCACCTTTGTTAGTTTTAGGTGCACATGTTTTATTATTACAAGAAACTGGGGATGAATCCTGAAAGAAAAAACAAAACAATGTTATGAAGTAATCAACCCATTCGCCCTCAGGAGCTTGTGCCGAAAAACGCCTATTGATGCCGGACGAGGCGTTGTCTAGTCACTATAGAGCGTTTTCAATCTCGTGGCCAGAATCTATGCAAATTTATGGAAACAAAAGAAATTTTTACATGCGAAAAGAGTTCGACTATCACAGGATTTGTTAGGAACACTAACATGGTCGCCGTTATATTGTTTGGAACATCAATATGGCCGCCGTGAGGTCATGTGAAAACGCCCTATAACATAGTATAATGCCCAAAATATTGTCATAGGTCGAGCACAAGCTTCAAAATTGCCACTTCCCTAGTTTAGGCATGCACATGAAGGCATGAGTTCGACTTTCTTCCTTTCGCTTTCTCTCCTTGACGCTTCTCTCAAGTTTTCGATTGTGGTTAGGATTAAACAAAAAAAAGGACCTCAGCGTCTGAATTTGACCTCTTTATCTTTAACTTGATAGATTTAACCCTCCTTTAGCATTGGTGTTAAAAAAGCTTTAGCCACTTTCCTCGTTGAATCCGGTAAAGAAACAGAAAAAAGCTATAATTGTTCATTTCCAGGCTCTTTAACTTAAGTATGTGTTAATTCATCATAAAAGCTTTCGAAACAACCCACGGGAAAAAATTAATTCAATCCGTTGTGAATTAAAAAAAATAAGATAGGTGCAGTGAACTGAAGCATATGATACATGCATTTAGACTTAGATCTTCATTTTAAAATAATTATTTCAACGTCACAAAAATTCTAACGATTGATTTAGAACATTTGACTTCAGAGGAGACAACCTAGACCTTCTCAAACTCCTTCGTTTCTCATTTCCGGTTCTGGTGGTTGGCCCCAGCACAAAGGACCTCTATCCCCTGCACTAAGCCCGTCAAATTTACAGGAGGAATTTTCCTCCTGTGGGTTTTATCCAATCACGAACGGTTTTACTTATGCGCCGTCAATCAAACCCGATCACGCCATATGAAACGTGACTCGAACATTGAGCTGTGTACTTTTTAAGGGCTGTATTACGACTGTATTCAAATACAAAGCCGAGTGCAAATGACAGTGCAAATGCGTTCTACCAAGGACGCGATAACGTATGGTTTAAGGAAAGCGAACTACAAAGATGTTATCAACAACAAGTGATCGAGTGTGGAAAGGATGTGCTTTTTGTTTTTGTTTTCGTACTTTGACAGCTCGCGACGACACACGCGACAGACCGCAAATAGTTCGCGCCAAGAAAAAATTTGAGCTCGACTTGTGGCCAAGTCTAGAGACAACCCAGACCCGGTAGTATTGAACAGAATAAATCAGTCCCAGGGGGGGGGTACTTCCTTCTAAGAGGCTAATAATGGGAGTGTGCCGCTGGGTGGGATCGCATTCCCCGACTGGATTGACTATAATGGGGTCGCATTTTCAACAGTGTTACTAGAATGGGGTGGCTCATTTCTTGGGGTAAGGCACTTCTTCCTTTTTTACGGTTAGCAAACGTACCACAATGTTTGTACTGCAGTTTCGATGAAAACTAAAGTGTTTTTCATTCAATCTTAAAATGGGTCAATTCATAAAAATAGAAAGTGACTAAGTTGGGATCGCGAAAATTAAATATTTGCCCAGAAGTGACTAAGATAGGGTCTATAAAAAATCGGGCCGCTGGTCTGTAGGTATTTTAGTTGCGGCCAAAAAGTTTTTAGCTCCACAAATTACAGTTATCAAGAAAACTCCCAATTACATCTGATCTGCTGTAGGATAGATAAAGCTCTTTTTCATATGAGGAAGGACGTAATTGTTGCTGCTACATCCCTTCGAAAGACTCATTGTACTTCGATCCTGACACATTCTCAAATCTAGAGAGCGAGGACGTCAATAATTTCAAACTTTTTTTTTTTCTAGCCGGGGATTTTAATGCTAGAACTCGCATAGAAAGAGACTTTCTAGTTGACGAGAATAGCAAATCCCCTTCCCACCTGTAGATGGCCTACCCATCCCTGATGACGCGTCGCAGACAAAAAAGTTTGATCGTCTCGTTAACTACTCGAAATGTGTAAATCCCTGGATCTCAGGATCTCAAACGGGAGATGTAAAGGTGACACCTTCGGTCAAATAACCTTTCATGGAAATCAAGGCATTAGCACAGTTGATTATGTTGTCGTTAGTCATGATGTCCTACAACACTCTCAAAACTTGATAGTACATCAACCTCTCCCTTCTCCGATCATAGTCAAATAATTTGTTGGATCAAGATACGTGCCACTAACGCTTTTAGAAGAAATAATGAATGTAGAGTAGACTTATTTGATCTACCTAGACAATTAATTTAGGTGGGCTCCAGACTCAAGAGAAAAATTTTTAGCCGCCCTGCAAACCACAGAGCTAACAAGATTAATATCAGACTTTGAAAATTCTGAGCTTGAACAAGCTGTTGATATCAATGAGGCAGTATGAAAATTTGTTGTAGTACTAGAAACAGCAGCAAAACAATCTCTTCAATAAGGCTTTGTCAAGCAAAAAAAGAACAAACGGCGATCACAGCCCTGGTTTGATCAGGAATGTAGGTTTTTAGGAAACACCTAAACTCAGTTTCAAACAAAAAACATACCAACCCTTTTGACAAACAAACAAGACTTAATTATTTTTCATTTAAAAAAGATTACAAGACCCTGCTGAGGCGCAAAGAAACAAGAATACCAGAATTATAAAATCGACGAACTTGTTACTATGTCCAATCCAACCAAATTTTGGTCAACTTTAAAATCTATGTCTGCTGAAACACATTCTGTGCCGCGAGCCACCGCTTTTCCAACAGACAAACTGTCATTTTGACTAGTAGGTAAAACGTTTTAAAAGACCTGAAAAATAAAGAATTGAATTTCATGCTACAAATTAAACAATCTTGACTAGCCTTTTACAGAAAATGACACAAAAGCAGCAAAAGAAGTTGTTAAAATCTAAAAAAAAGCACCAGGTCCGGACAGGATACAAAGTGAGATGTTGAAATGTGGCATTCATACACTGGCCCCTCCTTTCACAAGATTCAGTTAACTTTTTGCTGAAAACTGGACACCGTCCAGATGCTTGGCCCTTCGGCTTAATTAGCCCAATGTTCAAATCAAGTGACAAGTCGATCCTTTGAATTACAGAGGTATTTACGTCACCAGTTGCTGAGGGAAATTATTCTTTTCCCTATGGAATAAACGATATGCAATTTTTTTTAGATAAATAACTTGATACATTCATCGCAAATTGGTTTCATAAAAGGCTTTAGAACAACTGATCACATTCTCTCATTAAGAACTTTAATCGACAAGTATGTAGTTAATGCCAACAAAGGAAAATTGTATTTTGCTGTTTTGTTGATTATCAAAAAGTGTTTGATTCGGTATGCCATAATGCTCTTTTATATAAAGTGCTTGAGAAGTTTTATCATTTCATCGCCGACAGGTATTCGAGATCAAAATGTGCTATAAAAATTGGCAATAAGAGGACCCACTACTTTAACTATAAAACAGGAGTACGATAAGGATGCATCCTTTCCCCATTGTTATACAACCTACTCTGTAAAATGAAAAGAGCCAAATCGACCCCAAAGGCCAAATCGGCCCCAATTTCTCGAGGGCCGATTTGGAACATGCTGGGCCATTTTGGACAGAAAGAGTCAAAACAGTTCTAGATGGTACCAATTCGGCCCATCTAATTTCTGAATCGGCTACACTAAAAGCTACTTTGGCACTTCCTCTCAATTTGGCCCTTCCGATAGCCAAATTAAAATTCCGATTTGGCTCCAACAAGGTCTACTAGGAGCGACCGCGGTGTTCGGTTGAAGTAACCATAGTCACGTCTGACACAATCCAAAGTACGGTCCGTTTAGTCGAGTAAGGAACTAAGATAACTTTAACGTAGACCTAAAACCGTGGCGACAGTCAGAGACTGTAAGGTAAATCATGGTTTCGAGCGAACCTTTGCCTCGCGGGAAGGTGCAAATCGGAAACAAAGCTACAATCACGCTCCCGAATGTTCTGCACGTGATTTGAATGTCGATAACATTACATGATGCGTCACGCAAACTAAACGCTGGGAAGGCGTTACAGTACAATATCCCTCGGTATTGATAGCAAACAAAGACCCAGCCATCATGTACATATATTTTCTGATTCATAAGTAAAAGGTTTTTAAAATTTCGAACGCCTGCCACAGGATAAAAATGACACGACATGTAAACAATCGAAAACATATTTTGGAAACAATACCCAACTGGTCAGCGGGCTGTCCCTATGCACATGCTCTTTGGTGTCGTCCTTTTGGCGTCTATTTGAAAGTACTGCAACGGTTGCGAACATGCCAGTCTTCTTTGGGGATCAAGAGTCTTGTATTATACTTCTCGACAGCATCAAAGGACATTGAAGGTGTTGTTACTAATTATTTTCGAACTATGAGCCGTCGTTGATCCATCACTTCGCTTTTGAAGTTCGTCGTGAAGAATCGGAGACAGAAACCTCGTGAGGCGCAACGGTTTTCAAGATGAACTGCACAAAATTATAATAATAATAAACGCTCTCCAAGAATCAAGACTTTGCTGGAAAAAGCCGATAGTAAGACCAGGTAAGCCGCCCTGATTCGCTCTCTTTCTACCAAATGCAAAAGACTGAGCTGTTTTAACCACGTTTGATGAAACAGAATTAAGGGTCACTCAAGTCCACCTTGTTGGAACGCTTTGAAGAACGGGTCATTAGATGCTTTTAATTTAATTATCTAATGATAAGGAAATAAGTGACCCTGTATTCTGTAGTTAAGACAGTGGAGGAGTTAAAAAGCACTTCTTCCATCCCCTCACTGTCCCCTATTTAAAACAGGGAGAATGATAAACATATCTAATGAAAAAACCTTAAAGCCATTTCAACTAAAGAAGATGGTAAGGATGGTGTGGTCTGGTTATACATTTACACTGTAGATTTCAGTACTTGTTTTGTTTTAAGTAAGGTTTACCTTACCAATGCATTATTTCTCTTGTCTGATAAATAAGTGCAAAATAAATGCATTAAAAATAGAGAAATTTAAAACCCTTTTAACCCTAAGATCAAAATTTGAATGCTCATTTGTTGCCCCTATTCATTTGCTACAGAAGTAGTGGGAAGAAGTTGATAAAATTTCAAGCAAATTGTGTGATCATGTCCATAATTCTCATGAACACTCTGTTATACAAAGCATTGATATTAAAAGGAGAAATTTGATGCTGATGACTCTTAAGGCTTAAAGGGTTGAAAGAATAATGTGAATTATAATAATAAAGTTATGCATAAAATTAGGAAATAGAATTTTAGGTTGCAGAATTCTGCTTCAATAATGTGAATTATAATAATAAAGTTATACATAAAATTAGGAAGTAGAATTTTAGGTTGCAGAATTCTGCAGGTGTGATTAAGGTAACAGGGTCTGTCAGTCAATTTGCTCCCACAATTACTCAGAACTGTGTGTAAATAAACTTGGTGCTCCAAGTCAACCAGTTTTAATTCAATAACATTTCTCCTATGGCAGAAATAGAAAGGCGGGCATCCTTTTGGTAGTGAACAAGGTTCTGCGGCATTGATCGGAGTGCTAAGAGGACTTCGGGAGGAATTTATCACTATTGTAGAGGTAGGTGTTTTGGGAATACAATGTTTTTCCTGATATTGTGATACAAAATACCACAAGAGTGCTACAAACTCAACTGTACATTGAACCCTAAATGCTTGGGAAGCCCAGATACAAGTGGAAGTCAGACAAAATTGAGATGTAATTTAGCTTATGTTATGACGGTATCCCTTGGGGGCCATTCCCGTCACCAGACTACACCAAATCTCACAGAATAATAATGGCTACATAATACTTAATGAATTTTGACTTACAGCTGCAAAATTTCTTACTTGGTGAGAAATACATGTACTAAAATAATCTTCTTGTATCAGGACATGCACACTGTAATTACCTCCTCAATGATGTGTGAATGTATTAGACATAATTATGCTGTCATTCTTTTTCCCATAACATAAAGGAATCATAATTTCAACCAACTATAATTTATACAGTATACCATACATGCATACCTGAAAACTGGAAAGAAGTAATTAAACCAACATTTTTTGACAATAGTATTGTTATGACCATACTGACTTTTTATGTGTACGCACTGTTTGTTGTGTTTTGATTATTGTTTTTATCATTTCTAAAATTACAGCATTTGTTTTTATTGCAGAGGGATGCAGATGTTGACAGGAAAATTCAGGATTTTGTTGTGACAAAGGGAGGCATTATTTGCCAGTTTCCTCAGAAGAAGATTGATGCAGTGATAATATTGCTTGGGTGTTTTTATGTATTTAATGTATCATACACCCAATGCAAAGCCATCTTGACTTTTCTAGATCAGGCATTGCTTGAAAATGGACTGGGGTAGACACTTGTCAATGTTTCCTCCCTTTTTTAATGACTTGGCAAATACCTCAGTTCTTGCTGAATGTTAACTCAGGACAACCTCGCAAGGTGTAGCCAAATTGTCAAAATGTTTTTCATGGAAGTTTTCTTTCACTCTTATAGACCAAGATTTGGCAAGATTTTTTAAACATAATATCTGTGGAGTAAAATATAGTTCAAGACATTTGCCAAGCCATTAAGGGCTGGTTTACTAGTAAGATACAGAGTCGGAACTGTACAAATCAAAAGCATAGAGTGTTGATCTAGATATAACACTAACAGGGTATAATTACTCCAATTATGACTCCTTCACTTTTGATCTAGTGAAAACTATAAAGCATGGGAACAAGAATTTTGACTGGTAAGTGGTTTATCCTTCGACGATTACACCCCTGCTTAATCTGGTTTTCTACATCATAAGCAGAATCTGAAGAGTAGAAAGTTGTGATGACTCCAATTCCATCAAGCTTCTAGTTATGACTTCCCTTGCAACTCTGATTTTTGATTTTCACTAGGTGATGAGTGCTCTGACTATGACCCTGACTTTGTCACGAGTGAAAACCACCCTTCAAAAGGATTAGGTCAAGTCATTAAAGGCTCGCACTAGCAAGGTAGACAGAGTTGGAGTCATAATCAGAAGCTTGAGAATTGATATAGCTAAAGCATCTTAGTTCATTATTGCTCTTACAACTCTTTTGCTTCAATCTAATATACATTGTCGGAATTGTTAGCAGGAGAACTTGACCAACTCTGACAATCTTTTATTTTTTTTTTTGTCAAAAGGGGAGTTATAAAAGAAACCTTAATTGACTAAAATTCTGGTGAGCTTTAATTAATGGAACCCTTTGCAACTCCAATTTTTGATTTTCACTATAGGTTTTAAGTGTTCCTATGATGCTGATTATGATTTTCACTTTGTCTTTTATGAAAACCGTTTTAAGAAGTAGTTACTTTGATCGCACCGAAGACAAGTGTCTCTCTTGGCCAATTTAATTCCTCCAATAATTCTAAATGTTCAATCTAGAAAAGTTGAGATTAACTGAAGATAATATTACATAAATAGGTTGGAATACGCGTTGTTATGATGTACACAGATCACAGTAACTTATTCAGAACTGAATAAATGTTTGAAATAAGCCTTATTTTGGTTTCATTATTTATCAGTACCCTAATTAAGGGAAAAAATCTGTAGGCCCCCACCCAAATTAAAAAAACCATAATGGCCCGATATGGGGCTGAATCGGCTACTTTTGGAGGGGTAGTTTTTAAGAGGGCCAAAATTTGAGGGGGCTGTTTTGGCTACTGGAAAATCCAAAATGGCCCTAGTGTTTTCCATATTGACCCTTCACATGGTCTAATTTGGCCCCGATGCAAGGGTCAATTTAGCCCCAAATTTTGGTACCAAAACAGCCCCATCTCAGTGGGGCTGAATTGGCCCCAAAAACAGTACCATTCTGGACTCACCCGTTTCGGCCCCATTTTTGGGGCCAAATTGGCTCTTTTCATTTTACAGTGAGACAATATAGCACGTTTACTTTACACCCAAATTGGACCGAAAGACCCAATAGTTCTATCTAACGGATTACCCCTTTCTTGATAATTTTACGGAACAAATAAATATCGCCAATGGATATTGCAACAAATGGTTACCAAAAAATAAATCTTAAAAAACAAAAGCATACATCTTTCAGAAACAGAACCGTAAATCAACACGAGATAAATACACTTTCTTCCTAAATGGGAATCAAATCGCTAATGTCACAGAATACTCTTATCGAGGCATAACATTTAATTCAAATGGATGTTTCTCAGTAGACCTTGTCACGGTTTTCGACGCCATCTTGACGAGTAGGCAAACGTGTGAGAAATTACAGTGATTGTATGAGAATCTAATGTCGAATAATTTCCGTAGAACAGCTGTTATGAAAAAAATATCAATTGTAAACTAAAGCTACAAAGCAAGGGATTGTCCTAAAAAAATTTGGGAGCGTACCTGTGCTTAAATTTCTCCAGAGGGCTTGCTTTAGATTTTCCATATATTTGTCTGTAATTTTCCCGGGACTTTCTTACAGACAAATGTATAGAAAATTTAAAAAGTGGTTCTAGGTCTTCGATTCTGGTGCATGTAATGCCCTCAAATTTTTTCAGGAGAATCCTTAGGAGTGAAGCTTTACTTTACAAATCATATTTTTTCAGAACAGCTGTTTTACGGAAATTATTCGACATTAGATTCTCATACAAACACTGTAATTTCTCACACGTTTGCCTACTCGTCAAGATGGCGTCGAAAACCGTGACAAGGTCTATTTCCAAACAATTATCTGCGGAGAAAACAAGAAGATCAATATTTGGTGCAAAACGCTATCTTGATTTTAATATTTATAGGCTTTTAGTGGTTATATGTATGCAATAAACTTTTCTGATGCCCTATTTCTTCCTATATTACCATACAGTTTTGAGCTATAGGGTGCTTATGATAGAACTGATGTCTAAGAAATGGGAAAAATACCCCATTGAAAAAATTTACACACAACTTTACAAATATTTGATTGGCGTAAATAAAAGAGCTACTAACATTAAATCTCGTTAGGTAATGAAGTAGGAAGACTATCACTTAATCTCACATTAATCTAAATGTCATAAAAGTTTGGTTACATCTTGTAAATCTACCTGATACTGGTATTGCAAAGCAATGCCTTTTACTTTCAAATCAACTAGCAAACAACAGAAAACTGCCTTTCATGCTGTTTTTCCACGAAATCGTGAAAGTACAATACTGTAGCACAAGAATTCGTGTAGAGCCAAAATTGGTTAACCCGAAGCTGCCAAAAGTAAAACAGGCTATCATAGATTACTTCAAAAAGGATCAGATGAACATTCCACTTCTAAGACTGGTGTCTATAGATCTGAATATTTCATTAGAGTCTAAGACCTTATTAAAAACGCAAAACATCGCCAGGTAGTAGCAAAATTACGATCAAGTAATCACAAGTTAACAATTGAAACTAATAGATACCATCTTCCTAAAATTCCTGAGAATATTAGGATATGTCAGTTTTGCTCGTCGAATAAAGCAGAGAATGGAATTCATTTTCTATTCGAATGCAATTTATACGAAAATTTATCATAACACTTTTTTCAAGACGTAGAAGCCAAGTACTCCAAATTCGTAGGCCTGAACAAATCGACAATATTGATCCATATGTTTGTAAATAACTTGCCGGCTACTTGGCTACTTTTATGATCTACCTAAAAAGTATCAAGATTCTTCTTCCTCTCACGGAAATTCATACTTATTTTATTATAATTATAGCAGTGACAAGATTTCCTATTGACATAAGCTTGATCCTTTGATCTGGTGTTAGTTTGTACGTGCTTGTAATAGAATACTGACCCGCGTATCTGCCAAATTTCTTAGAAATATTCCCACTTAAAAGAGGGATAAATCTCGTTGAAGAACATGTTTCCTCTACGAAACAGTTCAGTTTTTCGCAAAATATTGGTTTAAAAAACATACTCTTTTTCGAAGGCAGCTAGCCGCTACTAAACGAGATTAAGGATCATTAAGTCGTAACTGAATGTTCGTATAGATGAGGTAAAAAGCGCAAGTTGAACCACAACCACTGTATGATTCAGAGTCTTTGCTACTGCGAATAATCGCTAGTTATAGGCAAATAAATACTAATCCAGTTGTACTTATAAAATGAGACCACGTGGAAGTGTTTTAGTGCTCGGCAGCAAGAACACATTTTTTTCATTAACGATCCATTTTTAGCTCTGATGTCAGTGGTCTCTACCTTCTGTGAATATAATGGCAGCGGACGTGTTTACATGCAACCTTCCAAGGATGTTCATACGCATTCCTTCAGAACACTAATCAGCACTAATCAAGTTTCCGACTGAACGTGACACCTAAACAAAAGCTGTTTTCATGTTTCGATCCATTTATTCGAAAACACACCTTTCTTCACGAAAATCAGTGCTAAAAGCAAACTGCCATGCGTTCTCTAGTTAAATAAGGGCGTTAGGTTAAATCATCCACTGACAATCCGCTAAATAAACGTACTCTGTTACAGAATGAAGTTGTGTCATACCATGTCATTCATAGCTGAAGACTGCGGCTTTATATCTCTCTTGGACAGATGGTTCGATCGCCCAGTTATTGAAAATTGAAGCATAGCTAGCAACACTAGCAGAGTTCCAAAGGCCATGGATTAGCTTTGTTAAGAATGATTTCTAATATAAGCTTCGCTGCTGATGAATGTTAACAAATGCCGTTCGAGATAGGATGTTACTAAAACGGGAACGGGGAGCGGGGAGCGGGGAACGGGGAACGGAAGTCTGGGAACGAGTTGACGTTTTCCCCTTATAATCTAGTTATGGTCAAAAGATACAAATATCAAAATGAATTTGAAATGTCATTCTGAATATAAAACAACAACAACAAAAAAAAAACAACAACAAATTTTATTGAAAATTGGAAAATAACTAATTACATTACTTTCCCACCCGCAAATAGCTTATGAACTAATCGAGGCGGGGGGAGCTGAAGACATATTACAAAACAAGAATTATATATAGATGGACTAAATAACAGTGAAGACACTACAATGCAGTAAATAGAGTTTAAACTAACATAAAACAAGGCATGTACATAACGATTACGAAGAGAGGTTAACCTAAAGTATTAAATAACTTAACAAGACGGGAGACTTCGACATAATCATCTTCTGACCGCAAAAAATTTAGTAATAATTCCTTTATTTTTTTACGAAAGGACGAACGTTTAAGTATTTTAATCGAATACGGAATAGAGTTCCAAATTTGGGCACCGATTCTCGTGAAAAAGGCATACATTTTATCGGTTCTAGAGAACTTAACATAAAACGAGTCGCTAGAGACAGATCTTGTTCTGTAGTTATGAATCTGACTTGTTTTAACGAACTGATTGAGAATACTAACTGGTGCTGTCTGTCTGTTGATATCATACAATAAATAGCCACAATCTCTGAAAAATATAAAATGGGAGTAAAAGCAAATTCTAATCATTTTTTAAAGATACTCCTTTGTTGTGAAGGATTTTGGTAGAGATCTCTTGACTATCACAATTTGCTGGCATAGGGTTCTATTATCAACCCGTTATCGCTTGATATAAAGAAATGGACTGGCCCCCTTTTTGCTAAAGAGTAATGTATATGAAGGGAACTATACAATATCATAAAAGTATTTAGGCGGCCACTTACGAATTTAAACTGTTTCAGACATGTTAGTTTATACTTAACCCATTTGTTTAACTCGACATAATGATCCTAGTCATACCTACTCGTACCTTAACCCTCTAAGCTTCATTATCCACATACAAATAACATTGTCCACACTTATCTCTTTGCATTTCCCTAAAGATTTAGATGACAGAATTTGGTTGAAGATTAAAGCATTTTCCCTTTGGTGATCATTTCATTACTTGTCATAAACATTCCTCTGGATAATGTATTGATATTGTTTCGAGAAAATTGATTCCGGTCGATCATGGGACTTGAAGAGTTAAATTTTCAACCTCATCTAAGGCAATAACATGGTGCAATCTAAATAAGCAATTAGCATATCCCATTTCTTTTGGCTGATTTTAAAACTTAGCCTTGGACTCTTTCATTCTAAAGTAAACTAAGAAAATGTGATGATTTTATAATGTAAACTACACTCACAAAACGTGTTGAAAAGCACTGTATACAATAGTGAATATGCATCACTAAAACCAAGCTCAACTAAATTATGATTATTTTCACGGCACCTTCATTTTTTAGTTTCTCTTTTTTCCTTAATCTGTGCCAGTACATGCCAAATTCTGTATGATTTGGCATGCTTGACACTAATACTATACTTGACTTTAATATAACACTAACAACAACATCAAGCTTTCCCAGTTATAAAAAAAATTGTAAAAAACAACCAACATCCGAACAAGATACAGGTAATCGGCTCCTGTAAAAGACAGGAGCCGATTACTTGGCTCCTGTAAAAGATTAACATCAACCAGAAGGGCAGTGTCCGCTTTTTTGGAATGTGGAACAGTTGATTAATTGAAAACAGAAGCTGTTCACAGATTCCAACCAAATTAAACGTTCACAAATTGTTTTCTTGACCAACGCACCCCTCGGAAACCAATATATGCTTCGAAACTTTCTACGCCGAAAACCGGAACTCAAACGCCCACCGGGCGGAGGAAAACTTGGGTACGACGGCTATAAGTTCGTTTCTCAACTTGAATAAGTACTGTTCGTTTAGACTTCTCTATTCTTGGAAGGTTCTAGCTTCACTAAAAGCCTGATTTAAGCTGTGGCTTTCACGGTTTCGTTGGAATGTTACAGTCTCAAGGAGAGTCCGGGGGGGCGGGGGAAGAGGCGCTTTGTTATTTCGCCTCAACGGGTTATCACGAGGAGCCGCAAGAGGTGATATTTTTGCACGGCATCTGGCGGCACATCAAAGAATTTGGAATTGAAGGGCATAACCTAGAATATCTTCGCCAGTTAAGCTAGAGAAAAGGTGTTAAAAAACCTCAGGATCCAAAACAACACGTCAATCAAAATATCACTTCGACCTTTTCGCTAATGCAGAGCTATCACGCGGCTAAGCTTGAATTAGACATATATTGAAATAGGAACTCGTGTCAATAAAGTATCTTAAGTGAGTGGGAATCGCTCCTAGTTAAAAAACTGGTTCACAGGGATATGCATCTCTTCTAGTTAAGAGAAGGGAATCAGAACTGCTTTTCATGCAGGAACAGGTTTTCTTCGGGCTAACTACAAAACTTCAGCTTATTTCACTCCTTGACACTGTCAAAGCGCATTTTCTAAAGATAACTTTTTCCGCTTTATCAGCTTTTTTTATATTCTATTCCATTAATGTTTAACCTCCCTCAAAAAGCCAAATAATATAAATGCTGTTGTTAAAAAAATCGTTTTACCTGTTTTCGTGAATTCGCTACCCAAAGATCACTATGCTCAAAGGACAGGGCAAAATTTCCAGGAGAGAGGCATTAATTTTTTTTCCCACGAGGTTACAAAGAGAAAATGCAATGAGTATTATTAATGTAACCATCAGGTATACTCTACCCACGAAAGGTTACGGACAGCAAATGCAGTGATTATTTTTAATGTAACCATCAGGTATGTTCTACACACGAGGTTACAAGGAGAAAATTCAATGATTGTTATTAACGTAACCTTCAGGTATGTTCTACCCACGAGGTTACAGAGAGCAAATGCAGTGATTATTATTAAATGTAACCGTCAGGTATATTCTAACCACGAGGTTACAAAGGGAAAATGCAATGATTATTATTAACGTAACCTTCAGGTATGTCCTACCCACGAGGTTACAGAGAGCAAATGCAGTGATTATTATTAATGTAACCGTCAGGTATATTCTACCCACGAGGTTACGGAGAGCAAATGCAGCGATATTATTAATGTAACCATCAGGTATGTTCTACCCACGAGGTTACAAAGAGAAAGTGCAATGATTATTATTAACGTAACCTTCAGGTATGTTCTACCCACGAGGTTACAGAGAGCAAAAGCAGTGATTATTATTTTAAATGTAACCATCAGGTATGTTCTACCTACGAGGTTACAAAGGGAAAATGCAATGATTATTATTAACGTAACCTTCAGGTATGTTCTACCCACGAGGTTACAAAGAGCAAATGCAGTGATTATTATTAATGTAACCATCAGGTATGTTCTACCCACGAGGTTACAGAGAGCACGCAAATGCAGTAACAATTATTAGATTTTAGTGCAACTATCAGGTTGAGTTTCTCCATTAAAACAGTTTTTTGCTAGGGTTAAACAAGTTTGGCTTTCATGAGTTTCAAGGTGCAAGAAATTATCAGTATAATTATAGCACACAAACATTGTCATCTAATTCTTCGCACGTAACCGGAATAAGCCAAGAAATGAAGCATATATAACGAAAAATCGTCCTCAGATGATCTCCATATTACGTAAATGATACTAAACGTTGCGAAAGAAATTATTGTTTGTATCCGTCCTATCCATCGTAAAAGCGAGGGGTCATCGCATGACATCCGGTATATTTAAAACAGAGGTAATACTCACGGGTTTCACGAGTTGTATGCACTATTTTTCGCCGAGAAACAAATTTAAACTTCAATTCTTACCTTACAGTAGTCCGTTCTTTTACCTTGCATTCGACAACAAATCCGTTAAAGGCGAACAAAGCGATTCCGGCACTCTTCTTTATGATGAGTAGCAAGCCGCAGGAACTGAAGCCGCTTGACTGAAGTAAAATCCACCGATATGCGCGGCATTCTCACTACAAATATAAACAAACGTCGCGGAGAAAAAAAGACGAGGAGGAAAAAATGCCAGATCTTCGCCTCGGCAATGTATTCCAGCTACCATGCCGGCGTATCTCCAGAAGGAGGACTCGACGTGGGACAAACCTTGTGATCTTTTTTTAGAAGCCCTTTGCGCGCAAACTAATTTATTCTGGCGCGAAATGAAGAATATGTATACTGAAATCTAATCCACGACAAGAAGATTTTCGCACTGTAGCGCGACATATTAAATGCCTATTTTTACAAGTACGCGGAGAAAGTGGTCCACTAGTTTAACTTTTTTAAGATGAATTTACTCCACAAAAGCAAAATGAAATGTTTTATCTCTATGTTGTTTACGTGCCTGATTAGAAGGCAGAAGTAAATTCATCATACAGACCCCATCAAAATGAAAGTACACGAATGAAACGGAATAAGTCTGGGACGGTTTAGTTTCTACTCAGCAGCTTCTTTGCTTTTATAACAAAAATTTAATGTTGCAGTCTGTTTTAAACGTTGGCATATCAACGCGCACAGTCACTGAATGAAAACAACAGTCACGATCACGTTCTTCGAAACCGACCAGATGCGCGCGACCTACCACTGTTATGGTAAGCTATTATCCTGAAGGTGTTAATGTTCCCGTGACAGTCTTCGCACTGAAGGTGTAAATGGTAAACCGAACGGTCGCTTTGATCATCAGAAAGACCTGTCAACTTTGATGATTTAACTGATTAAATTACGGGACAGAAATTTTACTGCTTGCGGCTCCTCGTGCCGCTGAACAGGGCATAGGTTTTCAGGGTCACTGTCTGATGTTTGTAACCGCAGTTTCTGTGTTATTCCTTTTAAAACTGCAAGAGTATTTACAATTAAGCCTCTTGCGAACAGAATGTCTTGTTTAGACCGGATGCCTTTTGAAACTAGTACGAACGTTGGC